TTGATTAAAAATAAACCAACCAATCAAAAAAATCACCGCGCTAAACAAAAAATCCACAGGGGAGACACCAAACCAAATAAAAGAACCCCCAAGACTGTATAGAGTTCAAAGAACTCAGGGCAAAGATACACTCTTACCTGCTTCTGTGATGCTGGTAACTCCCTCCAAGCACCTGCTAATTTTTTAGTCAGCTCTGTGCTGCTCGCTTCTGTACATTAAAACGAGAAAGCATGAAAATAAAGATCAACATTGTATCTGTAGTAAGGTTCTGCAATTTTCCCAAGGAAAGCTGTCACAAGTATCTTTTTCCTGTACAAACGTTTTCATCCTTCCATAAAACTACCTTCCTGTGGCAGTTAAAGGGAACTGTAGTATTCTGGGGAGGGGAAAGAGTCACTGCTCTTGGTTCAACCTGGAATGAAACATGCAGTTATAAGACGAAGCACAATTTTAAGGCAGCTATTATCACTCCACAACAATTCAATTTTTTTTCTTTTGAGATCTTCTTTTTTTCTTTTGGAACTTCTTCTATACAGTGCAAGATGGTCTGAATTTGGAGGGAGGAGCAGGGAAGAAATCAAAAGTAAAATTTCCAGTTCTCCTTTTTCAGCAAAGAGAGTCTGCTGAATTCTTCAAAGCAAGTATAATGTGACTTTATCCACCTGATATAGCACATATGTCCTTCTCCTGTTTTACAGTGATCCTTCTGGGTCCCTTCCAACTCAGCACATTCTGTGATTCTGTAATCTTTATTGAAGTCCTTCATTTACAATATTATTCAAAAGAAGTAAGGTTAAAAAAAAAGGTAATTTCCTTCTCCCACAAACAAAATTGGTGACTTGAGTCTACTTCGGTTTTCAGCTGACTGCCTTTGACTCTGGCTCTTGTACCATGGTCATTTGATGAGGCCTTCAGCCAGACTTGAATTTGTGAAGGGGAAAAGAATAATAATTACAAAACCAAACCAAACCAACCAACCAACCAAACCAACCTCAACCAAACTTAAGGCTGGTGCAAAAATGATATAAGGTGGTCTTTTCTTGAAAAATCCTTTACAGGCTTATCCTCCACAATTAAAAAACCAAAAACAGATGAGCTTTTCTTCCACCTCAAATGTAAAGCTTGGCCACCTCAATGGTGGGAAAGCAGAACTAAGCTCTTCTCAGTAACCTGACTTCCAGAATTCTGGAAAAACAAGACAGATGGAGAGGTTTTAGTCCAAGTAGATGAACTATAAAACCTTTGAAAATATGATGCTTTGGTCAATGATAAAAGAGAACTAATAAATTATCAAGTTTTTTTGACTATTACCTCTATTGGAACAAGAAAACCCAAAGTTCTACATTTATTTGCAGATTATTCAAATTTTGAAAACGTGGAAAACACTGGTGTAGTATGTAACTACAATAAGCTCTGATAGTTCAGTCCTCAACCTTTCTGACTGTGGAACTGCTGAACTGCTGAGGGGGGTATCAAATGGTTTCCCCTACTTAAATTTACCTCAGGGCTTGCCCAATACGACCACAGTTTTTTAACCATTTTAACCTTCATTTCAACAGTATTTTAAAACCAGCACAGCTTTCCATTTTGCTGCTTTCCGGTAAGAGTGTCTGTATTGCCTGTAAATAAAGTTTTTGATAGTAAATTAAACGTATTCACAGAAAGCCCTTTTCCTCTACATACATTTACTTCTTCTTCCATTTACAGTCAAGACAATCCAGTGCCTGTAGTTTTCTAATTACTAAACATCAAAACAAAATCATATGCGCCTTGTTATATCAGCAAAAGCATACTTCAAACGCACAGAGGCCCGAAAATAACTGAGAACCACAAATCACTGTTAACATGTATTGCCCAGGTGAGATCTTTCAGCAAACATTTTTAAAGTCATACACATGCTCGTTTTTTCGAGTTACGATGCACAGAAGACGAAGATAACACACGTGTAGGCAGTGAGTACGGCCACGCTGGACTCGCTTGGGGCATGCTATGGATAAACAGATGGGTTGGGTCTCTAAAATCAGGGTAATGGACCTTAGTTCCTTCACGCGGTTCGGTTTTAGGGGCTGTTCTGGCTCCCGGCTCAGCCCTGCTCGGGGGGCGCAGGCCGTGTCCCCGCTCCCGCACAGAGCAAACCGCGGGCCCCGCGGACTCGCCTCCCCTCATACCTCGTACCTGGGTTCTTTTCCCTAAACGCCGAACGGTTTTCCACCATAAAACGGAAATAGGCGGTGAGGGGCCGCTTCGGGCGCTGATCCGAGCTGATCCCCCGGGACAGGCACTGCTCCGCCGCGCCACCGGCCCTGCACACAACGGCACCGCCGGTCACCGCCACCCCACCGAGGCGGCCCCCGCTCCCGCCGCCCCGCTCTCCGCAGCCCCGCTCCCGCCCCGCACCTGAGGAGCCGCCGCCCTCCCGTGACCAGGCCCAGGCCCAGGCCCAGGCCCAGGCCCAGCCCCAGGCCCGCGGCCCGGCCCAGCGCCGCCGCCGCCGCCGCCGCCGCCGCCATGCCGGCCCGGCCCGGCCCCTGCCGCGCCTGCGCGGGACGGCAACGAGGGGCGGGGCCGCGGCGCGCACACAAGGTGACCGTGAGCGCGGGGTCGGACATGGGCCTGTGCCCGCAGCCTGCGGGGAGCACACGCACGCAGAAAACTAAAATACAGCCCGGCTAAGCGCTAATTGACTAATTCGGCTGATCTGTGGCCACAAACCGCACGGGTTCACTGGTTTCCTCTTAACTGCAAGCTTTTGGGTACAGCTGTGTCGAAAAACACACCAGAGCACCAACCAGTTCTCGGGGGAAAAAGTTACTTTTTTTTTTTCTTTTCCATCACAGTAAACAACACAGTGATGCCTTAAGCCCCTAATGTTTTTTATTTTTCTAATATTTGTAAGACTTGTAAGTTTTATAAGTAGTGGAAGTAGACTCTAAAAGCAGCCTCCCTTACATCCCTTTCTCTGTAGCACCCTTGTTTACACATTCCTTAACCCTCTTACCCCATTCTATGCTCCCTATATCAATCCTACTCCTGAATCCAATAGAAATGTTTAGTCTTTTGTCAAGGCAAGGCCTAGATTGTTGGCAGGACAGCATATCAGGGCCTAAACCACAGAACACGGTCAAAACCTGGGTAACTATGTACCCTTTGTGCTCTGATGAAGAGGAAGGTGGGATGAACAGGGGGTCCCGAAATACACCCCAGACCCATTTTCAGGGGGTGGACCCGGGGCGGAGCAGAGGAAAGGCCACAGGGTGGACACACCTGGGATTGGATGGATGGTATTATAAAATGTAACATCTCAGGCACAGTGGTGCATGTCTTGTACCATCTTAGCCTTGGCAAATAGACCCTTTCTGATCTCACCCCTAATTAACCGCTCTGGAGATTTTTTTCAGCATCTAAATTCCACGGCAACACAGAAGGGAGTAATGTTTCAGCTCTGATTCCCCGCTCCCCCCACCCCCTTAAAAGAGCGTTTCTATAAAAAGCATTAGCGGAGTTCTGAAGGAGCAGTAGTGATGTTTATCTCCAGATTAAACCCAACGAGCTCACTGAACGAGTGAAGTTTTGAATCATGTATTTATAATTTCATTCCTATAATTTCAAAAGCAGAAAGGCTGAACTGCTACAAGGATCATAAGAATCAAAGACTTGTGATGATGCTGTTTTAGAGGTGTAAAGCTAAGACATTCCTTTTTTAATATCTACATATGCTTAACATGCCTTACCACACGGGTGTTTGGGTTTCACATCCTTCTGCTGGTTTCACACTGTGATGCAAAGTCATTCTCAGAACACATCAGAAATATTACCAGTTAAAGTAAAAATGTTTTCAAACCACCCCTAACACAAACTGATAAACCAAAACAAAGTGAGGATCTCAAAATACAAGTCAAACTTCCAATTTTCATACAGTTCAGTACAGGTATTGCAAACATTTAAATAACTTCTAATACAAACAGATTACTACTGATGTAGAAAAAATAAAAGCTCTGGGAACACACTGGGATGGTCGAAGTTTTTTACCATCATTTGAGTAAGAAGTGTAAATGATGGCTTTGCCTTCCTAGCTACATTGTCCTGGTTTATAACAAAAAAATCCATTTATTCAGTTTGCAAACTGAACAGGGATATTTTAAGATTAATAGAGCCAGTCTCGATCAATCTGTTGTTTCAAATATCATTACATCACAGATAAAACTGTAGCACAGAAATTACATTTTCCCATATGTGACCCTTTAGGTCAGTAAACTGGCAAACACAAAGATTAATATTCCACTGGTAGGGAAAAAAGCTCCTACTGTGCACACTTACCACTCATACCCTAAATTCCAATTTAGCATATATTAGAATAATAAAAAACCCCCCAAATTAAATATATTTCTCATCTTAAAAATATATTTTATGTTGACAAATTTCCCAACTGGAAGTCAGTTTTCTTTCATGTGCAAGGTACAGAGAAAAACATTTAGTCGCCCATTTTTATTTTCGGATAACCAAGAAGAATGCACAGTAGGAAATCAAGAGTTTTTCTGCTCCTAATCTACCTTTTAAGAACAGATTGCCCCTCTCCAGCACTACTGGTTTTCCACATACATACTCTGAAGCAACTGAAGTGCCAGTTAATGGAAAAGTTACCTTCAAGTGTGAGGAGTTTACTGTAACGTTCTGATATTGCAAATACATCACCTTAACTAAGTGGTTGATGTTGAGACACTTGTGGTTACCTCCTCCATAGATGAATACAGGTGTAAAATGACCTTAAACTACTTGAAATCCTATATTCAGCAATGGGCAGAGCATGCTAAATCCATTAGGCTAAAGCTAGCATAAAAATTAATTGCAATCCAGTTCTAAGCAGTACATGATGCATAGCTTTATTTGCCCTTCTCTTTATAAGACACACGCACATATACTATTGGTGATTCTCTAATGTTAGAACAAGTACTTTAAAGATACGCATGAGTTAAAATAAAATTAAAAAAAATCAAGAAAAGTAGTAGAAAATGCATTTTATTTATATGGAAAAGGCTACATTTGGATTTGTAAAAGGTCAAAAGGATAGTGTTACATCAAAAATCAGTTGTGAATAGCAACAGAATGGTTACATATCTCTCTACATAGCAGTGCAATTAGTTCTCATTGCAATAAAATTAAGTATGCAACAGAATCAAAACAAAGTGTTTCTCCATAATCAGCATACAAAGAATTACAGTGCAAAGATCATTTTAGGTTTTAAGAAATCTGCAGTCAATCTTTAGAATATCCTAATGTGTGGGATACTCCAATTATTTTCATTACTAGCAGTTGTATCTTGTCAATACTGTGCACACGCAAGTAAGTCTAAAATGAAATTACTGACATTGTAAATAAAATATTTAGTCTATACAATAAAAAAATACAAATTATTAAGTGAACTAACAAAAAGAAATTTGAATACACTTATGAAACAACAACATACTTCAATGACAAACATACAGTATTCATCACATAAAACCAGCTACTTTTCCCAGCAAAAATAATTCGGTTGCTTTACAACTGCATTACAGATCTTGTAGTCTGAAGATGCAGGTGTCCAGCCCTTAAAAACCATAATAAATGTCTTCTGCAAAGCATACAAAGAGGATAAATATTCTTATCACAGTCATAAGGTTATTTTTTGAAGTTTATTCTCCCTTGCTCCAGAAACACACTTACATGGATGAAAAAAAATTCAAGGGGAGTCATGTTACATCAAAATCATAAATTGTGCTCCATTTCCTTCTAATTTTGAAAAAAAACTAGAATTTACAGTACTCTGTGGTATATGAAAAAGTCTTCACAAGTTTACATTGCATATTTCTGAGTCCATTCTCTTGCATGTCTGTTGTATCTGTATATGTAGAAAGAAGGCATTACAGTGAAGAGCTGTTAGTGATACATTGACAATGGCCACGTATTTACTTAATATAGGTGTTATTGAGTTTTTCACCTCTGAGCACTGAGTCGAAGAAGTTAAAACAGTCTAAAAGCCAAAAAAAATATACCCACTGTATGTTCAGTTTCTAAGGTTACCTATTACAGCTATTCAGACTCAAAACCAATCTCACAGGTTTGCATTAAAATGCATATCATTGTGCCTACTTAATTTGCATTTCACAACTGGTTCCCTTATTTTAACAGGAAACTGTTGTTAATTATTCCTAAATGCAAATGTTATTAACAGTCTGACAAAGTTCGCGCATTTTAGTTGCATAAAATTCAGTACAATTAACTGGAGTTTTATCCTCCCTTCTGCCCTGCCATCATCATTTCAGAACTTGAAAGGAAAATTTTCTGAAAAGCATTGTTTACTAGATTTTAAGTCTTTTCCTTCTGGTATGAGGCTGCTTAGCAATCCCAAAGATAAACGACCTTAGAGAGTTCACAACTTCCCCTCTGATCTTTCCGTTTGCTACATTCCGCTTTCCAGACTAGATTCACTTTCTTCTGGGTCATCCAGAGAAAAATGCTGACAAAATTTTAAATCTGTTTCTTAAGATCAGTATAACAACTCATGAACTAACCGGTTTTCTTCTTAAGAATATGCTACCCTACAAGTCTTAGGATCTTTACTTATACTGAAATATTCATAGATAAATGCTATGGGGTAACCAGCCATATAATTAATTTCCTAAATTCAAGATGAGATAAAAGTAATTTAATAGGTGATCAGCTATAGTCAAGACTACACATTTTCTCACTTTCTCTAGCAACGATTAAATTTCGAGTTTTGGAGACAAAACACCTTCACGAACAGGAGGCACAATAGCTGAAATCACTAGTAAGTAGGTAGGTACACAAAAGTTGAGACACAAATGGGGAGAAGCTGATGCATAACATCCTCAATTTTAACACTGTCTGCTTTGCAGAACAAGCTACAGAGTTCGAGTGGTCCAAAAGTGAGTTACATGATTTGACTGTACCAGACAGAAAGAGGTCATTTTAATAATTCTTACTCTAGGAAGAGAAATACTAGACCACAGACTTCCATGTAACTTCTACATCACTCTTTTTTTATCCACTGCTCAAGGTAAAAACAACACTCAAATCTTCCTGAACCTGTGACATGTGATGAGCCACAGGCCACTAGCATAACACTGCAAGAAGTCTTCAGTGGCTCAATACTGAAGACAAAAAATAGGTACCAAAAAACTCAGCTAACCAAAAAGTCAAAAATTCTTCTGTACAGGTTTTACAAAAAGAGGATTGCAGTAGCAAGAAACAACTCATGTTTGGGAAATGTTTTTTTCATGCAGTGAATATAAGATGACACACAGAAGTGTGATGGTTTTATGTAACTAAGTACAAAAAATCAGGTACCCAGCAACACCTATGTAGGCATACACAATACCTACAGGTTTTCTACTTGCCATAGCTATTTTCAAGATTTGAAAATCTAATCCTAATCCTGTAGAAATCTATGAAAAAATGTATTGCTAAAGTTAAGATAGCAGGAGCTTAGCAGGTAACCATCTGCAAGTACCACATACACGATTATATATACATTATACTCACTTTTCCTTGTCTGACTTGTAGATCTGTGCAATATCTGGTACTAAAGGATCATCTGGATTAGGATCACAAAGTAAGGAGCATATGGACAATAAAACTAAATAAAAGAGACACTAGATTAAACAAGTTAGTTTGCTTTATTCCTATAATACATTAATATATTCCAGTACACTGAAGGAAAGTGCTGGAAGATTGGAAAAAGAATGCATATTAGTATTAAGCTGTCATAGAGCAGTTCTGTTCAGAAATGTTTATACAGCATCATTTTTTTATGGCCTAAGTAAACAACACCTGATACGAGCCTAGAGAATTTGCAACTCATGGACCTGCACCTTTTGTAATGATCTCTCTCCCACATTTTAACCTATGAACATTAAACAAACTACAGACCACACAGTCACATATAAATATTTGCTCAAACTAAGCATTTCATCTGCAATTATTTAAGATAACTAATATTGTTAATATTACATTGTCATGCAGTACTCTATACGTGCACATGCTTCTCCACTTCTGTGCTGACAGTTGTTCTCTCAGTCATATGAATACTTTACTTAAGCATGACTTCCATTTTGAGAAAATGCTTAATCAGCATTATATGCAGGTATTCACTTACAATTCATATTCACTTCCTGGTACTGAACCAAGGATGTTTGATTTTTTTCAGGAAATTTCTATTTTTATACTCAGAACTAAAAGCATACAAGAGTACACAGTTAAACCCTTCTAAATGTGTTGTGAAAGGGAACTTAATGCTACCATAAGAACCTGCTGTAGAATATCTTTTTTCCCCCCCTGCTTTGTTTTGTTACCCAAGAGCCCACACCTATTTTCAGCAGTAGCAAGTTTGGCCAGTTCAATACTGACATATTTATTAAGTGCCAGTAATATCAGAAAATCGGGTTACAATACACAGACACACCAATCAGAGGTGCTATCAGGATGTTTTAAACCTTTGATTCAGTAAAACGAGGACTAGAAAGGAGAAACTTCCGTGAGGCACTGAAATTTTCAGTTTATAAAATATTAATTTTCAGCTAATAAAATATATAACATGCAAGCAGGTTAAAGGCACGTCACATCAGAACATGAGAGCAGCAGACTGCTCAGCTTTATAACCAGAAGAAGCGCTCACCAAGATAGAAAGGTGCTGAAGATCTAAAAACTGAGAGTTTTCAGTTGTAGATGTCAAGTGTTAAACCTGAACGCCAACTTTCATTTGCTAAGTAATTAGAAACAAGGAAATTTTTGCGTATCTACAAACCAACTAACTTCTGTGAAAAGCTGATACCAAGGACACACAGGAGTAACTCAGCAAGACACAAGAGTAGTTCAGCAATGACTTCAGGAAACAGTATTAGACTTAGATTTTATACAGTTTATCAGATTACTGCACTAGGCTGTGTGCATGAGAAGTTGCTTTTCCAAGAAGGGATGGCAACTGGACTTGCATAGACCAATTTCCATTGGATAAAGACTAACAGTTTTTTTCTTTGCTTGTACACCCAGTGCAATGACACTGTTCTAAAAAAAGACACGGTTTGGAGAGCTCCCAAGCACAGAACAAGATGTGATACTGTTTAACCTTTTGAGTCACATGGGAAATTCTGTAATGACTTAAGTGTGCCTTAGCATTTTAAAGGTGGGTGAGAAAAAACAACAGCACCCACGTTTTAAGCAGCTTTTGAAGTGACACAAAATGCCTGCAACAAAAGAACTGCTTAACTATTAATTCAATGTTCCAAAAATCTACAGTGTTTAACTAGAGAAAGTTTAACTACAGGACAAGAATATTTTAATAAATCTTTTACTGATGACTTTGAAAGGAGCTACATTTTAAAATATTCACCTTACGGAGGAACGCAAACCAGAACAATTTATCTCATTTTAAAATAAAGTGTAGTTAAGACCTTAGCCCACACAAGGGTGCTCAGGCTACCCAAAGAGTCATCCCAGGCAATCACCTAAGCCCACATTTGTCAGTATCAGGGTTTTCCATTTTCATCCAAATTCATTTGACTTTGAAGCCCTGCTCACCAGTTTCTCCTCAGTTCTGCGTGACTGTCAGCTATAATACAGAAGTTGCATTTCAGGCTGCTTGGACATTTATTACCTTACTCAACTTGTTTTAGAACATTTCTTTGCCATGCACATATTTTTCTGTAATGTGACACTCCCGATAAGCTGTTCAAGATCTGGCATCATAAAAAGAATTCCAATGGAATTTGCCCTTTCTGAAATGTGCAGGATAAACGAGTCCCCACTGCCACCTTTAAGACAGTGCAGTAATACACGAAAAAATGCCATGGCAGTGTATGCAATTCCATAAATGGATTATCAAATCAGTGAGCTTACCTTTAGATACAGTCAGAGCTGGTGACCATTGCGATCTCAGGATATCAAGACAAATACTCCCATTACTGTTTATGTTTGGGTGATATATTTTTGTTGTAAAAGCAATCTGTAATAAAAAAATAAAACCAAACCAACTAACATAAAATTATGTTTATTACATTTGGAATCCTTAACATCATCCCTCCCTTTCCAGTCATACTAGATCTGCCAACACAACTTTTTTACAGTCTTATCTGTCATCCACAATGAACATGTGGATTGCTCACCTTTCTGGTTTTAACTTCCAAAATTAAGCCTCAAAGAACTAAGACACAGAAACAAAGTTTTGACCAAAAAACTGTGATAAGTTCAAAGAAAGGACTTACTTTTGGTGGTTTGAAAGGATAGTCTGTTGGAAAGTGTACTGTGAGAAAAAATACACCCCCTTGATATGCACTATCAGGCTGTGGAAAAAAACAAAACAAATAAAACACATCAATATGTTTCAGCCATTTTAGAGTTTCCCTTTTGAATGCAGATAACCTTCCAAAGCAAATCTGCTTTTTCCCCAGTACACAGCCCACTGTGGGCCGTATCCTGGGAAGGCAAGAGGGAATTGAACCCTCCCAACTGGCCTGCAGAGCTAAAGTAGAGCCAATTGTGGCTACTACTGCAGAGGCACAACACAGCTACTGAGCCTTGCCCTTCTGGGCAGAGAAAAGGAGGGAGCAGTGTTCCACTGGGGAAGCTACAAATCTGCAGAGCAATAGCTTCACTGCACTGAGGGGAACACAAAAACCACAGCAAGTCCTCCAAATCCTGTCGCTGTGCAAGACCACAGCTGCTCTGATCCTCCTCCATCCTTAAGCTACAAATATACTTACCTTAAGAAGTGGTTTCTCTTTGCAGATGCAAAGAGTAGGATTTTCCAACATAATTCAGTTCATCATGATGACATCGGGGAGTTTTAAAACACACAACATCTTTGTGACCTGTACAAATCTGTGAACATGCATTTTGTTAGAAAACATGTGCACAGGTTTACGTCCAGGTTGCACAGAGCTAATACAATTAACTCAGTTGTAGTCATCTGTTGAAGAACTCTCATTTTTATTAACAAAAAAAAAAAAAAAAAGAGTGGAAAAGTCTTGATGCTGAATGATAGAGAGCAGTTCTGCCATTTCTGATTAAGGGAAAGAAGAAAACCACTCTCATTACATGGTAAGTTTAAAACAGCAACATAGGAAGTCAGTCTCAGGAAAGCTGCAGGAAGATTGAGGTTTGGGGTTTTCTTACGGAAACAAAGGCAGACTGTTTCTAAAAATCTTTACCTTGGAAATTAATGGTTTTAGAGATGACTATAGGACTGTAAGAGGTAGAGCCACAAATGGTCCACTAAGACATGTTTTCTTACACCTTAAAGTGCAGACAGTGTTGCAGTGTAAGGCAGGTTATATATAGTCATACTAAATCAGCATTAGGTAACATCAGAAGAGGTTGCCACAGTAATTCCAATTAGGTTTGAAAGGACTGCTTGCTTGAATACTAAATGGATTTTTCAAAGTTAAAATAAGCTGAAGACGAGACAAGTTCAGTGTCAGAGAGGAGGTAAAGCGAAGTCACACTATGTTTTATGAGCAAGGTATATACAACAAATTGATGACATCCATAGGCAGAAGAGGTTACCCCACTTCCACACAGAGGAAACGAATTCTGAAGGTAAGCTTTAGTCCTATGTTTCCATCAGGAAACATACAGGATGCACATCCCTAATTTCCTTTTGTTATCACAATAAAGGATTAATATCTTGAGATATTCTCTTCCTGTATCTCTGCAGACAGGGCTGAGAAAGGTTGGCAAGAGATGCTCATTCTTATCCTTAACTAGAGACATCTGAGTAACCTGAAGCAAAGAAAAGAATACTTTCCACTACAGAATAGGAAAGGTAAACTGCAAGCTGGAGAAGAAAATAGAATTTAAGCCAAAATTTATGTTCTAGTATTCCCCTCACTCATGTCATCAGAGTTATTCAGGACAGAGACATTACTGACGGCAATCAGCACATAAGCTTTATTAACTCTTCTTTGCTGCTTTGCTGTTGACTCTTTATCTCAGTGCAAAATGGCAAGGGTCAGAAGGATTTTATATGTGAAAGAACAAGATTGTTCAAGAAAAATAGCAAAAGCATTAGTATAGTACAGAAAAACAGTTGCTGCTGGGCCACTGACAAGTTGGACAACAGATTCCAGCACACCACTGGCAAATTAGTGACTGATCTTTCACTGCTTCAGAACAGCTGTGCTGAAAATGAAGAAATAGTCTTAAAGGAGACACAATTCGACTTTTCTACAGCATGCAATGCTGCATCTTAATGGATTAAATATTATCTCAAAATTTCACCTCGCACAGCAACTCAGCTCAGCATCTGAAGCAGAGACATGTCTTTCCAAATGAGTAAGTCCAAAAGGAAAACACTAGGAATACAAATTCCTCACCAGGATATTGAGAAACACACCTTCCGTCCGATCACGTTGTTCTTTATTCTTTTTTTGCTAAAATTCTCTTCAATTTTCCTTTAAAACTTTCTGGTTTTAAGTTTTATTGTCCTTTCTTATGTCATTTCCTTGACAAGGGTCATAATTAGGGTCTTTACAGAGCTCCCTCAACCCAAGGAAAGCACCTTTCTCTCACAGAAACCAGCAAAAGCACCCACAACTGCTGGCCTGTAATTTGCAAAAGTCATCTGCTTTTGCCAGAGCCACATCACAGCCATCAAATAAAATATGCTCTATCTAAAAGCCCCAAAATCACCCTGTGCAACTCCACTCCTGGAGTTACCAACTTTAATACTGGATTTCACCTACTCTTTGTCCTTTCAGATGGATGAACCTTCCAGAATTGATCTGATCATCTTTGAAAAGCCAGCTCTTTGCTTTGTAGGCCCCCCTACCAAATCAACCACCACAGCACGGATTTCTGAAGGTACAGAAAGCAACTAGTACCAGACTACCACGAACAACATCACCCTAAATCTTCAGTCTATACACAGCACAGCTGAATGTGACTGCTGTATTTATAGAAACCCAAATGAATTCTTCCATAACAAAAAGAGAAGCAAGGTCTTACATTCTAAGGGGCACAAATTATATACTTACAGGACCCATAATAGTTGCTTGCCAATGAAACACTGAAAGTAAAAAAGAAAAAAAATTAGAGATTTTTCCAAGCTTTTTCATAACTGAAAAAAAAAAGGTAAAAATCTGACTGTGTACTATGAAAAGCTTACAGTCATCTCCAACAGGTCCAGCAGAACAGTGGGCTGGTGGGTCTCGCTGCAGGTCACTTAGTTCCTGTAAGAAACACAAAAATTTGAAAGACACCTGTGTGAAAATACACACACCTGGCAGCATGCCTTCAAAAGTAAGAACACAAACCAATTTTATTAAACCTGTGAGGTTTTTCTTGTGGCATTTTGATAAAACAGTCAACACTTGAAATGCACATTGGAACTGAAAAAGTTTTTTTGCCAGATGGTCTGCAGCTAATACTATGCTAGAAATTAATATCTGAAAGCATCCAAGAGCTGCAACTAGGTTCATAGTAAGGAGAATATACTTAAGTAGACAGAAAAAAAAGGAAAGGATTTCTTAATTTGTCTGCAAATTCACTGTTTAATTTAGAGTTATGTGCTAATTTGATTATTCCTTTATCTTTTGATTTTACAAAAGTTTCTGCATTGGCCTAGTCTATGTACATTAGCTAAGCCTGCCTGGAGATTATATATGAATATAACATAAAGGTCCCTAACTAAACTAGAAACTAAAGGGAAAATATTAGTTCTTACAGCTTTTTTATTATACCTTGATTTAATTCCCTGAATGCCTTTTTTTTTAAATGACTACTAAATCACTCCAAAAGGAATTTGAAACTTAAGCACTCACAGAAGCTTTTGTGGGTCAACTGATTTATTTTTCTAGCAGGAGTCCACACAAGGGACTAAATTATTAGTGAACTAATAATTTAAAATTATTATTTGATTACACAAAACCAGCTCAGTTTTTCATCTATCATTGCTATTATCAAATGGAAAACAAGCCATGCATTAATTTTAGTTAATTTTCCTTGTTTAATTCAATATACTACGTTTGATGTCTGAACTTTGACTGTACTAAGGATGAACAACTTTTTCCAATTCTAGGCTGACAGGAATTGTGCTGGGGTAACTTAATGACTACGTGTAAATAGTTCCTTTGAAATAAGTTAAAAGATAGGTGCTAAATCAGTGTTTGTAAGTAATTCAATTCATTACTCAAAACATATGCATTTAAGTCAACAATGGACATAAGCAGGCCTGCAAATACCTCGAATTTACTTTAAGGAGTAACAATTCCTACTCAAAAAACATTAGTCAGGGCAACTATTTCCAAAATCAAGGTTTAAATTGAAACTAAGTTTAACTCAAGTTTAACTTTAGTGTGATCGGACCTTACAAATAATTTGAAGCATTAAAAATCTGCACTTCTCAACTGCTGTGATATATTTTTACATTTATGACAGCTGGTAAATATTTTAACTCAGTCTGCCATGCATCTGGCACCTAAGTTCAGCCAGACTTCACAAGTCCACTCTTGGCCATGAATTCAAAGAAAGGCACTGCACCATATTTTACTACATCTCTGAAGTCACTTCTCAGAATCTTTGTGATTTAAAACAAGAGAGACACTTCTTTCATGTACTGAAATAGCTCAGGTTGCCAACTAGCATTACTTGTCTGCACTTTATTCTCTTGGTGAAACTGTATGTTGGTCCAGAAGCAACACTCTGGGCTAGACTTTAACTAATAAAGGCAATAGAAAAATGTGCAGTTCCCGTTCTAATCGGAGGATTCAGATTTTGTTAAGGAGTGATCCAGAGAACCAGCCATCTGTGCAAAGCCAGTACACACAGGGAGTCAACCAGTGTCAAGTTTCCAGCAGTCACCAGTCCTCACAAACACGACCAGCAGCAGTGCTGTTACAGCCACTGTCTTCTCTAATTTGCAACTCAAGATACAACCTAACAAGAAAAGTCTTGCATACACGCTGAAAAAAAAAGGTTAAAATAAATAAATAAAAAAAATCAAACAGTTACATGAAACTGTCTGCCAAAACAGAGAACTCAGACTAAAAACCATGCATTTTATAATGGTCATTGCTGATTACTAGATTCAAGGCAATGATGGGGAAAAATACGTAGCTTAAACTCATCAGAAAGCCTCTAAAGTATATGCAAACATTCTCTGTACAGATAGAAACATCCAGGCAAGCACTTTAATTTTAGAGTCCCAAGTCTGTAACAGCACTCTCATTTGCTAGATGTTCTCCTTGAGATCTTTACACACCCCAAAACCCACACAAATTGGTTTTCTTTCAGATATACGTGTGTACTTCAGAATTGGCAGAACTGGGGAAGGCTTCTCTGGTATACACTTTCAATTTGTTCAGGCTAAAGGCCTGATTTTGTTCGTGATAAAAAAACCCCATTTTTAATCACACCTTGATGAGACCCAGAACTATCAACTCCTGTTATTAACATTTCCTAATAACAATGAAGAAAAGCCTCTCTTCAACCAACTTCACTAAATGGGAGCAATGTTCACAAATACATTCAGAGACCTTTTGCAGCTAGGAAGCCAAGCCAGAGCAAACTTCAAAACCTTCATTGTGCAAATTCAAGCCTTATTTTGCAATCATATGAAATTACATACTGAAGCTAATGTGGTTTAAAACTATAAGTGGTAATATGATCAAATTTGCAAGTTGAAATGGACCGTATGAACAGTTTGAATCCTTACATTCAGAAATTCCAGATCAAGCTGTGATAAAAAAATAACTACTCAACTTTATATTGTTAATAATGCTGTTTAAGCTTCAGAATCAAATCAAAATTATCTAAGATTTAGGCTTCAAGCTTCCCTACACCTTTTGAAATGATGCAAGGAGATAGAATGCCCCTGAATCAAACTGACTTGCCAGTGCCCAGAATCGGACACTGCAGAACAAGTGTGAGGACTCCCTAAAGTAGATGTAAAAAACTGCTTCACGACCTCACATATTCACAAAAGAATTATTTGTATAGGGAATTCTTGTATTCAGTGTCTCAAAAATGCTCTTCACAAGAACACCAAAACTTTGCTTTGTCAAAGGACAAGGCTGAAGATTTACAAAGCTTCATGTGCTGAAACCTCACCAAGAAGGGCAAGAGAACTGCATGTGAGGCACTACACAGTCAACACTAGAGATTCTCCTGTAATTTTAAGTTAATTGCTTAGAGCAGCTTTGTCCATACTTTATGGATTATCATCATGGAGCTGCATGATGCAGGTCTTGTCGCTTCAAGGCCTGGTCTACATGAATATTTTTAGTCACCAGTATAGAAAATGCTGCTGCAAGACTTTGATGTGCACATGCTAACAAAGCTATGTGCACATAGCTCAAAGCGCTGCAGATTCACTTTCAGAAGAGAAAGTCACCACTATAAATCACAGTGTACACTGGTGCAACATGTTTTATCAGAATACACAAACACTAAGTTCTGCCTGCAGGAGGTGCATCAGAAATATCAGTTATTTTAAACACTGGTGAGTATCACAGCATAAAAGCATCTGTCAAGAGCTCCAACACACGCTACACTGTCCCAGAATGGCCAGGATAAACTATACAGAGAAAAATAGCTAAGCTGGGAACCTGAAGGAATAAGTCTTCTAATCCTCTCAAACACACAAAATAGTACATGGTAGAATAGAATACTATTGCCTAGAATACTCCTGGAGATGGACACAGCAAAGCTTCCAAACTATCACCTTTCCTTGCACCATACACACTCCAAAACACCCCTCTATCAGCACGAGACAAAAATTTAAGATTCAAGTTTAATAGCTGTGAAACACAGGCCACGTTATGCTATAAATGCTGGAGACATTTCTGACTGTGCAGACTAGTGTTCATGGTCAAAGAATAATACAGGATGTATTTCATAAAAGTTTTAAGTTGAAGACTGCAAGGGCAATTTAACACTTACATTCTTGATTAGCAGCCAGGCTTCTCTCCCAAAAAAGCTGCTAGAACAACATTGTAAAGGATACTTCAGTAACAAGGAGATAAATCTTTTCCACATAGTACTCAGGGATACTCAGTGACTATGAGCATGAGTAGTAAGAAGAAGAAAAAAACCCCTAAAAGTGTCTTTTTTTCCAGTTTAAAATAATCAGAAAAAAGACTGCAGATTATCAGAAGCCCAAAATAAACTGCACACAGCATCACTCAAAGTTGTTTTCATTCTCTGATCAACACAAAACCACAACCAGAACCTTTTGCCACATCATTATTTAAAATATAGAGGTTTATCTTCGTCAGCTATGTTATTAATTTCTTGCACAAAACGCACTGTAGAATGCACTGTAAACCACAGACTCATTTCCTACCAACTCCATGCATACACCACTGCTTGGAACCATTTGTTCCACAAAAAGCTCCACAGTGGTCATACTTAAGACTACTTTAAGGATTCTCTGTTCTTTATAAATTTGGCAAATGTAGAGCACATATTTATCAAAACATTTATTGATATAATTGTTAGTCAGTAATAAAGTACGTATTCTATTTCCATACATGGTTTTAATGCAAAAAAAAATATTGCTGTGATATCACAGCTGATATTTTGAAAGCAAATTAAAACACATTATGTTACAGCCAAAAAAACTGTAATGTTTATTACCATCTAAAGACAGCATGTTTAAAATAAAAATCTAACCCACAAATATCAATAAATTTTGAGTCAATTTACAATAGCAAAAGTTATTTGCAACATAAATTTTAAAGCCTGTATGTCCTGTTAGCCTACACATCTATGAAACACACATTAAAGCAGATATATATAACTAAACGTTTGGATGCTTCTGTTCTTACTGAGTTGTAGCAGAAAAACAATCAAGCAGTATGTACCAATAAGATAAAACAACAGCTATTTTTAAACCAGTCTTCGAATCTATCGCTTCTAACAGGTTTCAAAATCTCTTCCAAAATCTCCTTAAGTCCAATTTTTTTATGCCTGTAACAAAAGGACATACGTATTTGTTCTGTAAGTATTGCAAGCCGGCCTGAGCATTAACAAGCACAACATCAACTGCCCATTAACATTGGAGGAGTACCCAGGTACAGGGCTTATGATGAAAACAATCTCCTCGACCGTGACATGGAACTGACAGGACAACAAACTGCACAATCAGGTGTGTGAACGAAGAATTCGGAACAGGAACCCCAGAAAAATGGCTCTGCGTAAGACAGATGGGCAGAACAGCCCTACACACTAACCTGCATAACCTGACAGCCTGAATTATTTTCCACCTCACACAAAAGCCATGGCGTCTCAATTTCCAGAGGTGGGAAGAATAAAGGCTTCTTTGCACAATACCCCTTCTCAACTGAAGATGACACGATTTGTTTTGTTTTCAGCATTTGCAACATCTGGAATTTAAAATGCCCACAAAAACAGGCATTATTCTTTCAGTGGTGCATCACAGACTACAGAGAAGCAACTCCTGCCCCAAGGAACATCTGTTCTACGCCACACACAGCACAGCGTAGAAATACAGTGCCTCTCTAATGCAATGGCAAAGCAAAGCACTATCAAGGTGAATGAATTCAGGTTCCTCAGCTTAAGATGAGTAAGAATCCCCCAACCTAAGCTTCTCTGAGGAGCTCCAAGATGATATTTGTCATGGAGGCAGCACCGATGGCTGGGCCTGCAGAGCAAGGCTTCATGTCCTCATTGTTCTTCCACCTGCGGGACTAAGATCAACACACTTCCATGTGCAGTTATCAGCTTGTTCATTGGTTACTCAGTTGCCCACTTTTTAAGGAAGCTCCCAAGGGAAATACATTGTTCTATGACTAATGTATAGCCTTGAAGTCCATATGCTGTCCTCCTTTGAGGAGTCACTCAAGACCGATCAACCGATGGCAGGATGCAACGAAACACATCCCAGTGGCAAAACGACTTAGAAATCAGGATCCCAACCAGTATGAGAAAAAATATGCTTACTAACATGTCTGCATATTATAGCCGTGCCTCCTCTGTAGGAGTTATCATACTGAACACACCAATTATTAAAATTACTGTGAACAAACAATCAGGCTTGCCACCAAAATCCCTTAGTAGTGATAAGGCACAATTCTGCACCACCCTAAATCCACCCAAGCTTAACTTCAGACAGTATGTCTAGACTGACAAGCTCCCAAGCAACACCACTGTTTTCTAACAGCACTTTGTTCTCCAAAAAATTCCTCTAGGCACTCTGTGAAACTATGAAGGTCTTACAGCATTTCCTCTACTCCAGATCTTATCCCTTCCTACCCCTTAGGATACAACATAGCTGTCAGCCTTTATAGCCAGTCTGAAACATCAGGAAGTCAGACAGGATAAACATACCATCATACAAATACATTTCATCTAGCATTAAACTTCCAGTTTCGTGATTTTCAGGAAAGATCTATTTATTACAGGGACATCAAAACAGTTTGCCTTTTTGAACTTCTCCCCTTCATTTTAACTTTCTGTTTGAAACAACCCTATTTCCTCTCTCTCCTCTTCTAGTACACCAGAGACAGGCTGGTGGCCAAATCCCTGTAGTAGAACGTTTTTCTTCCCCTGGAAAGGCAGCAGAGAGTGATGAGGGTAGTTAATGAAAAAAAAAAAAAAAGAAAACCAGCAGTAGTCAATTCTGCAGCAAACTAGAAGTAAGCAGTAACTAGCTCTGAATTTAATCTCTACTCTTCTGGGAGGTCCTTACCCGGTATCCCTTCATGTTTTGCGCAGAAGTTACTGCATAACCAGGAAATTTCATACTACCTTGCAGTCAGCACGTTGGAAAGCATTGCTTCATTTTGAAAGAGTAGAAACAGAATCTAATAAGGCTAACAGGATGAAAGATACTTTCATAAACAGTGTAACCATAATTTCACATCTATCAAATGCAAAGTTCTTAAATGCCACACTAAAGAAAACTGTGGGTTTCCAAATCATATGGAAGTCTCTAAAGCAGAAAGAAAAGTTACACAGGGAACATCATAAAAGTATGAAGAACAATCCCATTCTAGCAGAACCTCCTTTGGAAAGCCACAAACAACCACTCCAGCTCAAAAAATACCAGATGATCAGACTTTCTTTTGTCTGTTTACCTCAGAAGAATGAAACTGAACAAGAAGTGGAAAGAGATGGTATTCAGAACCGAGGTGGGAAATTAAAACGGCAACAAATGGTAGACCATTCCCATAATAACTAGAAGCATGACAGAGTTACTGCTAGAGAAAATCACTGTAGTTATTTATTAATATTTGATAAAATGGTCAAATGGAACGTTCTCAACAAGTGATATGAAGTAACAAAAATCTCCCTTAATTGCACTACCTGTAAAAGTGTAAGCTTTGTAGCTCGAGTCATGACTACCAACTTCTGGTAGAAATCCATCCAAGTAACTTGGTACCTACTGTAGGGTGTCCTAAATCTGCCTGCTGTGAGGTTAACCGGTCACTGTAGAATCCTACTTCTGCAATACCAATGGCTTCAGGAGCAAAAGGGAAGCCTGAACAAGAAACTGGAGGAATGTCACAGAACCAGGATAGCACCAATACCGACTAAACATGGCACGTCAACAGCAACCAAACACCACAGATTCTTTATCACGGCCACAGCACTAACCTTAACTCCACTCCTGTGCTGGCCACCCGCGGTGCTCTTTTTGTCTGTACTGTACAGCGACCAGCTCGGCCTTGCAAAACAAAAGGAAACTAGGAACTTGACTCCACAACTTGAACCTGCCCATTTTAAAATATCAGCCCAAAGCACTACAGCCGAGATACATTCCAGCGTCACACCAAACACCGTGCTGACAGCACTGCTTAGCCTGGAAAACAACTCGGGCACAGGGCTGACCAAGACGTGCACAAAGGGAGCCCAGAGCCTGGGCGAGAGATACACCTGCACCTCTGCTGGAGACACCCCCTCAGCACCGCCCCGGCTCCCCCCGCAACCCTGAACGGCAGGTTAAAGCACCGACTCGGGGTGTGGGGCCTTTAAGGAGGGCGAAGAGCCCCGAAACCGTGAGGAGGCCGACGAGAGGCCTCACGCCCGCTCCCCCTCCCCGGCTGCCGGCGACGGAGAGGGAAGGACGGGTCCCGGCGGAGACAGTGCGGGACAGCTGAGCCGAGCCGAGCCCGGCCCTGCCCGGCCGCCGCCACCCCCGGCAACGACGGGACGGTTCCGACGGCTCCCCCAGGGCGGGGAGCCGCGACCTCCCGCAGCCTCCCGCGGCTCGGCCCCACTCACTTTCTGTATCCGCTTCAGCGCCATGGGAGCGCGCGGCGGGAGCGCGCGGCGGGAGCGCGCGGCCGGGGGAGGCGGGGCGGGGCGCGGGAGGGGCGGGCGCGCTCTCGCCGAGCCCTTTGTGTCCGCCTGCGCCTGCGCAGCCCCGGCCGGCGCGGGGTGCGCCGGGAAGCGCAGTCCGCGGGGAGAGCGGTGCGCGCCCCCTGCCGGCCGGCGGTGCGAGCGGCGGGGCCGGGCGGCCAGTGGGGAATGATGCCTTAAGCCCCTAATGGTTATTTATTTTTCTAATATTTGTAAGCCTTATAAGTTTTATAAGTAGCGGAAGTAGACTTTAAAAGCAGCAACCCTCACATCCCTTTCCCTGTAGTACAAATAGTTTACACATTCCTTAACACTCTTACTCCATTCTATGTACCCTATATCTCTCCTCCCCCCGAATTCAGTGGCAATGTTTAAGTCCTTTGTCAAGGCAAGGCCTAGATTGTTTGGAGAATGCTTGTATCTTGGCTAAACCGCAGAACATGGTCAAAAATTAGGTGACTAAGTACCCTTTGTGCTCTGAAGATAATGAGACTGATGAAGAGGTGGTCCCGAAATACACCCCAGACTCAATTCTCAGGGGGTGGACCCGGGGCGGTCCAGAGTAAAGGCCACAGGGTGGACACATTTGGGATTGGACAGATATTGTTATAAAATGCAACATCTCAGGCACAGCGGGCGCGCACGGCGTAACATCTTTTGCCTTGGCATAATAAACCCTTTCCTTATCTCACCCCTAATTAACTGCTCCGGAGATTTTTTTTTTTAGCACCAGCATCTCCCACGGCATCAGGAACAACGGGGGTTTGGGGGTAACCGGCAGGGGTCTGCGAGAGGCACGGCATATGCAGGCACGTGGAGGAGTGAGGAAGAAGAAAGTAACCGTGTGGAGCTTCAGAACTGCATCCAAGGAAAAGCTGTGACACGCGATGCTGTGCGAGAGCAGCAGGAAACGTGTGTTACCGTAAATCGGCAAATAAAAAACCCCTAATGCTCGATTTGTGGGCATTAGCAGGCAGGCATTCTTTTTTAATCAGCGCTGGACACACAGGAGGATAGCTCCTCTAGTCGCGTGTGCCCCGTTCTCGGCTCAGCGCAGCTAATATTTACTTACGATTTTACATAGTCAGTAAATGTCTTACATACTCACTGCTTCTTATAAAGTTCATACATTTGTTATTAGTTCTTAGAAGTTCTTTGGAAGTCCTTATTTGGTCACTAAGGCATCTTCTGGTGGTCTCTTGGTGGTCTCTGATGGTCGTTTGGAGCTTTAACTTCACTTGAACTTGCCCCGTTGAGCAGTGTATTTGCAGCTGGTTATAGAAAGCCTTTGTTCAGCATCTCCTATAAAAAACTGGATACTTATGTTACTGCTACTTTAACTAAAGCATTCAGAAACTTGCTTATTCCACAACTGCCTTAACAGACACTTACATTGTAAAGGCCAGTAGAAAATTACTGAACAACGGAGAATTATTGCTCTCACATTGCTCTCACTCTACTCATAGAGTATTTTGAGTAGGTCATAGAATCACGAAGGTTGGAAGAGACCTCTAAGATCGAGTCCAACCATAAACTAGTTCCCAGACTGGCGAGTCCCTAATCAGGTACAGTACTCCGATAATAATTTTTTAAAGTAAAGACCAGTAATTCTCACATCAATACCCAAGCTTGCGAGGTTCGAGGTGGCTATTGCTGGGAGGAGATCACTCTTTAGGTCATCTCTCCACAACTACACCGGAGACGGCTCACAGAGCGATCTGTCTTTAACGGTTCGCAATGCTGCTGGGCACTCACAGCACCAGTAGCAGAGGGAATGCGAGGCTGCGGTGAGCCTGTGTCCGCTCAGAACGCGCAGTGGTGCCCAACACCCATTTCACAGCTGCCGAGGCCTCACTGGGGGCGCTGTTCTGAGCATGAGGCCAGCGATAGCTCTCGTTCGCTCCTCCCTCCCTCTGTCCGCGGCACCGTTCCGCACCACTTGTAGCTGCCCCCACCGACCCTCCCCGACCTCCTCGTCTTTACGGGGCGGCCCCGCCGCCATCTTGGGGGGAGCTGCGCGTGCGCGGAGCGGCGCGTGCGCGGTGTAGCGTGGGAGCAGGAGCCATGGGGCCGGGGCAGAACAGCATTGTGCGGGGTACGGCCGGCCGGGGGTGCGGGGCACAGGATGGTTGGGCTGGGCTGGGCTGGGCTGGGCTGGGCGTGTGGGATGGGCTCGGCCGGGCGTGTGGGATGGGCTCGGCCGGGCGTGCGGGATGGGCTCGGCCGGCGGTGCGGGGTACGGGCCGGTCGGGGGTGCGGGATTGAAGGAGGGCAGGACGGGGCCACCCCGCGGGGGTGGTGGGGGGCGGCTCCGCCCCGCGCCTCGCGCCCCGCCGGACCCCTGGGACAAAATGGCGGCACCCCTTTTATCCCTACCCTGTCCCCCCCGCGGGACGCGCCGCGCCCGGGCAGGGCTGGGAGCAGCCGAGGCCATCTGCACAACCATAAAATGCTCTCTGCGGTGTGGGGGCCCGGCCCGCGGGCTTTGAGTAACCTCCCTGGCCCCTTGTGAGAGCCCGGACCCGCCGAGCTACTCGCCGGGCCCTTGCGGGCACTTTAGCCCTCGGAGCGGACCCGGCCGCTCGCCAGGTTTTATCTGTGCTAGAGACAGCCCGTTTCAGGCACCTTTGTTTTATTTCTGCCTTTCCACGCGTTTGAGTGTAAATGTCATGAAAACCTGTACATTTCAGGAGGTTTGCCTGGCTCTCAAAGGCCGATACTGTACAACAGAGGTAACGGTGGCATTTGCGCTGCGTAATTATTGACCTGAACCGTGCCTGAGATAGCGTTACTTGTTTTTAAATGCTGTTGCACAACCGAATGGGATGAAAGAGTTGGGGTGGTTGGAGGACAGAACAGAGTCCCAATTACCTAATGTTTTCTAAAAAGTGAGCTTCACCTGCTTGACTGTGGTTTCCGCTTGCAAAGCTGCTCATGGTTTATGTGCTTAATTCAGTGGGCCGATAGTTTTGGCTTGGTTTTCTTTTGGGGTGGAGCGTGTACACTGCTGGTACAGAGGATGTTGGCAAAGGCATTAATCAAAAATGGGTTGTAGTGATGGAAGGCCGTGCTTATTAAAACAATGAAAGCACTGAGGATGACTTGGTAATAGTTTGTACCCAGGTTGTGTTCCTAAGGGCAGGTTACTGTCATTTATAAGCTTGCAAGAATTAGAACAGTTCCTGTACATTAGGAATTGAGAAGAAAAACTTTGTGAGGGTGGGAGAAAAGCATGCTCCTAATCAAACTGCAAATATCCTTCTTGTCTCAGGGAAGCAGGGGGAACAACTGATGGGAGCAGTCCTAGAAGCTTCTGTGTTTAGGAGGAGACAAGGTTTGGTTATTGTGATTTCTGACAAGATTAAACTTGAAAAGTGCCTGGTGACTGGCTGGTCACAGTTCTTTCTCCAATTTGCGTGTGTCTCAGGCTGATGAAATTTTGAAATCGTTTATTCCACTACTAAAAACTAGACACCAGAAATTTACTGTATTTTTGTGAGATTTAATTCCTGGTAGTAATTTTGGAGTTAATTACTTCTGTGCATTTGTGCCCTTTGGAAGGCAGTGAGTAGCACAGCTAATGCTTTTTGTTGTGAGAGGTGTGGGTGGTTGCAGGTGTGACCCCACATTGACTATTGACCTGATCACAATGACTTGTCTTGTGCTGCTAACTGGCAAAATCCGACATTCTTTCTCCCTCAGGTGACCTCTTTATGGCTTCAGTTAAGTTAAACTTGCCAGTCATAATCCCATGTTCTGTGGATGCTGTGGAGTGGTAGAAGTGATTTTGTCAGCTTGACTGCTTAGCTTTTCCTGTTAGGCTTTTTGCACAGCCAGTTGTCCTGGATGACTCTTCAGCATGGCTTTTTGTTGTGGACAGTGACACTACTGGACTATCATAAACAACTCTTCTGCAATAGTATTCTTTTAATTGGCAGCAAAATGAGGAGAAAAATGCTTGAAAGTTACAAGCACTTCTGGAGACATAAAGTATGGGTTTTCATGTCTGGAGTTATTACTCTGTCACTTTTGAATAATATAAACATTTTCTAAGCAGCAGAGGTAACTAGAAAATTGCTTCTTAGCACTATCTTGGACTAACTTTTTGGGATGAAGCTCTCTCTCATATTGCCAGTTCCTGGAATGTAAATTGATCTGTGTCCTAACAAGGATCTTGTACTCCAGGTGGACGTAAGACCACCTCAGTTTCTTCTTGTGCCTCTCAGTGCAGATGGCAAATGCCTGTTCTTCCTGCAGATAAAATCTGTCTGAGCTCTCTGGCAGATCCAAAAACTACCTCTGTAGCCTGGATCTGGAAACACCCAGAGCAGTGTTCTAGATGTTTAGAGAAGAGGGGAGAGACTGATCTACATAAATCTCTTTTCCATTAGGATATATCCAAAGAATACAGAAGAGAAAAAATTTCTATCATTGGCTTGTTGCTGTTCTCATCTTCTGATTTTTTGTTTACTTCTGTGTGCTGCCTCCTGGGACTTCTCTTCTCTGCGTGTTAATTTTCCTGGAGTTTTAGCCGAACTGTTTTCCATTGTTTACTGATTATGACATGGAAACAATTTTTCTGTCATGTTACACAAGCCTGTAGTGTCTTGTTTTGTAGTTTTGTAGTCACTTGTATCATTGTGTTTTTGTATTATACTAGAATTGGGAATTCTTTAATAGTGACTCAAAAGTTGCTCCTACCGCTTTTTATTTTATAAAGAAATAAGAAAACCTTGACATTCCACATCAGTTTCACTCCGCTAACAGATACCTTGTGCGTGACCTTGTGAGTTTGGCAGCAAACTGTTGAATTGGCACCAGAGATCTCTTGAAACAGCATTTAAAATCATCTGAAAAGTGTTTTCCTTCCAGGTGCATTTTATGGTTGACTTAGAAAGATGAAATGAGCATTCAGCTTTTCCAGATCTGTTTGTGAAACAAGACAACAGTTGAGGACAAAACTTACTGCCTCTGAAACCCTGCAGATGATTTAAGAGAGAGTCTTTTGATTAAGTTAAAAAACTTCTCCTAAAATTTCATGATGTTTATTAAGGCAGTACTAGAATTTAAAAAATAGACTGCTTTAAATGTATTATCAGTTGATATAATTTTCTACCCTGACACAGCTCCAGAGAAGCAGTGAAAAAAAGCTAATACAGTAGAAAAGACATTGCTCTGAGAAAAAATACCTGAAGCTGTTTGTATGTATACAAGTTGCCCGAGTGTGTAACAGATGGCTCTGGCCCTTGGGAGAAGAAGTAGAGGATCACAGCAGTACAAGATAACAAATTAATCATCTCTGCTTGTTGTGCGTGGCTATGTGAGGGCTGGCCCAAGGGATGGTCACAAGGATCTGGGTTAGCTGCAGATGTGCAGAACAGCTCTTCTGACTGTGCTGCTGGATTTTAGTACAGACTTTTCCTGCTTGCTGTGTGAGTCACAGAAATATCATCAAATATTTTTTTTTTTTTCTCTTCTGGTTTGCTAAGTTGACCTGGACTTTTGGAGAGGTGCAAGAAAAGATCACCTTCCTTAAGGTGCAGCATCTTAAAAGGGTGCTTCAGTTTCAGGAGTCATCCTTGGTCTTCATTAAAGTCACTCCCTCCCCTGAGATTCCATAGGGAAATGGATACAGTCTACCGCCGTCCCTTCATCACTTATTTAAAATTGTAGGTTAAGATTTTTTCCATCGGCAGTGCATTGGCCAGCAGCGTGGGCAGTCCTTGTAATTGCTGCTTTCCTGAAAGCCCCAGAATGGGCAGTCCCTTGGTTTTGCCTGCTGCTGTCGTAGCTGCATGTGACATTTCAGCAGGGATCACTTCAAACTTGTCAGGCGCAGCTTGTCCCTGAGCTTGCTGAGTACCTCCTCCCTGCCACAGCCCTGCTCAAGTGAGCCGGGCAAAGGGTGCTGCAGTGGCTTTCCTTGGGAACCTGCTGCCTTGAATTTAAACTTTGGCTGGTTTTTTTATTAGTTTGGGCTGTTGTGCTAAATTAAAGTGGATTTTCATAGAATCCCTTCTTTAATTTCACCTCCTCACTTCTTTACCTTATTAAAAATCTGCATTACTCTGGCTAGTTTGTAAGGGGGAGATAAAGGGTGAGGACTCACTGGGTATAAAACACAGAATTCGCCACATGATCTCGGGGGCTTTTATTGTTTTAGGGACTTTGGAAGCAGGGAAATATGCACAAAATTCTTCCATGTTAATGATGGTTTTGTGTATCTTAATATCACCTTGTTACAGGGAGGGTTTGTCACTCATTTGCGGGGGAAGTCTCAGTGTATGTTGGTCTCTTCTGCATCATTTACTAAAAAAAGGAACTCTGAAGAATTTTTGCATCTTTTACCCTTTAGTAAGACCCTAAAGGAATGCCTACCTTCCCTGATCTTACATGGCTGCAGACACTGTACAGATATTTGTCTGATTCCACAAATTGCTACCTCCAGGCCCTTGTGGATTAGCATGGTGCCTATGAGCTAACAGTGTTTGAGCTGAGGAAGGGGCTTGGATGGATTCTAGAAAAGTCTATGGGCGGGGGCAGAAAACCTTGATCCTTTTAGACCAATCTCACGTTGGCAATACAGCAAGTCAGTTGCTCATGGAAAGCAGCAAGAACTAACAAAGGGGTTTTGTCTCTAAAAAATAAACCCGTGCTATGATTCTTAAATATAATTTTTTTGGACCTTTGTTCTTTCCTCTCCACAACAGTAGGATTTAATCTAAGATGGCTTTTATTACTGGAAGCGATATATTTAATAATTTTTCCATTGCCAAACAGCTGGTTTTAGTTTTTTTTTAGTTACAAGATGCATTATATTAAAAGCTACTCATTGCCTCTGCCTTAGGGGCATCCTGCTTGAGTTGTTGGTGCTGGCTGTTGTTCTTTAGTGACTTTCCTGCAACTCAAACAGACAATACAAGTTTTTTCCTGCTACAGAGTGTACTTACAGCTGGTTTAATATGCTGAACTTTGAAACAATATACTACCCATGTTGATATCAGTTTCCCAAATGAAAGGTTTTAAAAAAAAAAAAACCAACCAAAAAACAACCAACCCAAAAAAACCCCAAACCCCTGCCAAGCTAATCCTCACCCTTGTGTAGAAGGGGCTTGGGTGAAGTAGAACTCTGATTGATAGAAAGAAGTAGATTAACTAGGTGAGTGTCAAAGGAAAATATTCTTCTGAAGTACGGAGTTACTACTACAGAACAAAAACATTTATTGGAAAGCAAAGATGTTGCTGCAAGCATGAAGACTTTTACTACTGAGTAGTTTTAATAGAACATTGTGGTCAAAAAAATTGACAGTCTCTCATTTTTTCTTTTATTCTAGTTGAATGGATTGCTGCAGTCTCCTTAGCTGCTGGAGCAGCTGCTGTTGGGTATCTAGCTTACAAAAAATTTCTCTCTAAAGACAAATGCTGCAAAGCAATGGTGAATCCCCATATCCAGAAGGATAACCCCAAGGTAGTCCATGCATTTGATATGGAAGATCTGGGAGACAAGGCTGTGTACTGTCGCTGTTGGAGGTCGAAGAAGGTAAGAGACGACTGAATGGTCCAGTGTAGTTCATGTGCATGCATCTTTCAGCAAAACCATTTTTAAACTGCTTTATTTAGAGGAAACTAACTTCTTCTCACCTAAACTATTCTGCAGTGAGATGTAGCAGCATTTTAATCCATAAAACTATGCAGATTTATGCTGGCGCTCAGAGTAAAGACTGCAGATCAGTGCTAATAGTGGAAGAATGTTTCTGTAGCTCTGAAGAAGAAGATCTCTTGAAAGGAGAGCCACTGTCTCGAGCACGATCATGAATGACAGATAACATTTCGTGTGACATTTTGTGTGCTACCTGTGCTAATACTGTGGCTTATCCAAAACTATTGGCCTGTTGGCAGTAGGAGCTCAGGAACCACAGTCTGAGAGGACCTTAAATACCTTTTTTTTGGAGAAAGTTGGAAGCTTACTCAGTCATAAGGTACCTTGCTACTAGTACATAGTGCATGGCAGTGCAATCACAATGGCATAGTTTAAACTTCTGTTTTTAAGCGATTAAAACTCTGGCCTAGACACTGGTCCAGCTTACTTGCATTTGAAGTTGAATTGCCTCAGTTGCCTAAAATTAGTGGTAACCTAGCCTTTCAATAACACTACCTCAGATTTAAGTCTGATCTTAGAGATGCGTGACTCTTGATGTAGCTGAGGTGTGTACAGTTTATCTATAGTGGGAGTTCTGGGATGTGCAATGAGAGAAGGCGAATTGCACGATTAGTCCTGTCTGTTTATCTCTAGTGCATGTTTGAAAGGTTTCTTAGAATGTACTAATGTGTGGAGACTGAAATAATACAGGCCTTCGAAGCCAGATAACTGCCTTGAAATTTAGCTCTCTGTACATCAGTGAACTGAATAATAGACTTGTCAAGACTTAGACACTGGTCTAATCAGGCCATACTCGGCTGTTTTCCCGGTGCTGTAACCTCTGGTTCTTGCTGTTGTCAGATCTGACTTCATTACCTTGTGGGTAACTCAGGAGCTTGCACATTTGCAGCAGAATTTGGTTTAACAGTAAAATACTGCTAAGAATTAAGCAGCATCATGACTTGATTCTGAAATAGTCCTGTGGAGATGGTCTTGTCTTCTCTGTTCTGTCTAGGGTCTGAACTGAAAAACATACAAAACTAACTTGAACCTTGGAACCTCGATTTTCTGAACAGAAATAGAAGATAGTGTCTGGTTATAGCGGTTGCATTGCAGCTCCTGCCAGTTATTTGCCATTGTTTGATATTATCTTTTTTTGTGTGAAAGAAAAACCTTAAGAAGTACATTTTTGCACAGTTCAGGAACATATTGTCCTACTGAATTAGGGCTCTAATCACACAAAAGGAAGTAGATGGGGCTATAATGTGTGCATTCTTAGAACTCTGATCTGAAAAGTCTTGCAAAGGCATTAAGGAAATCAGTGGAAATTTTGGGAAGCATTTGTTTTCTTTTACCGGTGTTTAATGTTCTGTTCCAAAGAGAGTAGTTTACAGTTTTGCTGCCTTCCTCTTGCCCTGATGGCCTAACCTGGAAGGATGGGTAGCATAATCTTTAAGATGGTGTATGTGCTTCTCATGTTCCCTTATGTCCAAGCAGTAATCAAATACATCATTCTCACATGCTCGTCATCTTTGGAAATTGTCAGATAGCATTATCTGGTTCTTACAGTTCTCAAACTGTTAAAATTTGTAATAATATGGTGTCAGGATGTGGAATGTGTGTGCTTCCAGTGTGGGAAATCAAAATTACTTCAAACGCATGAAGTACCTGCTGTGTTTTTGTTATCTAAGTGGCGTGTAAAATTTAGAAGAGATGTCCTTTTGTATCAACATGTGTACTTCTCATCAGATTTCGCCTCACCTGAGGCATGAAGCTGTTAATAGAGCCACTAGTGTTAGGAACCATAGGCTACTCTGTTGCCCTGATGGCACACGTGCACTTAGGCCTCAGGGTGTTCCTCCTCTACAGGGAATAACAAAACAGTTGGACTATACCAGGGTGTTTTGGAGTAACTCTTGACAAAGAGCAGGATTATTTGCAGTTGGGTTTTTTTGGTTTTGGGTTTTTTTTCTGAAATAGTGTACTTCAGAGGCTTTTGTACTGGCCAGTGTCTTTGTGGAGTGTATGTGTTTAAAAAAACCCCACATATGGTATCATCAAATAAATCTGTCTTGGGGTATAATTATCTGTTAATAATAGGTTAATAAATGACCCTTTTCTGTTCAGCGGAGTTGTCAAGTTTTGTGAAGAAACCCAGTGTTCAAACTCATCAGTGTAGAGGCAGTAGTTTTGTCTTGAAACTAAACTGTAATTAAAGTTAGAACACTTGTTTTCTTCCTTGTCTTCATTTTTAACTGTGTGAGTTGGGGGAGGGGAGACTTAATTTCCTTTCTTTTACAATGACCTGCAGCCTCTGTGTCTTCCAGAGAAGTATTAGTCCCCAGTCTGTGGGTTGAGGAATATTGCTGCAGACTATCAGCAGAAATAGAGGTAGAGAATCCAAACCTGTTTGGTGTCAAGGGAAATCAGCTGAGCTGTCCAGATCAGTGCACAATTCCCTCAGGGTTTGAGCTTTGGCCACTATTGCTAGCCTGCTTTATGTTAATCAGGGATGAACACGTGTCAGGCCAGGGATTCATCTATTCAGTACCTGGGCTTCAAGGTGACCACCAAGCAGGTGCTCCAGAAAAGGGTGTTTGGTTTGGTCTTTTTCCTGAGAAACTGAAATCTGGTGTACCAGCCCCTGGGAGCCAGTGTTTCTGGGCCCAGCTGACCAGTAGGATGAATTCAGAGCAGTCAGCATTGGTAGCTGTTAAAGATGTCTTGATCCTGTCTGAAGCCTATGAATCCTGCTATTTTTGTCACTTGCACAGTTGAAGTGATGATGTTGCTGTAGCTGGACCTTGGGCTTGCCTCCTTGGAGCTTGCAAATGTTAATATCTGATGGAAGCTGTGTTGATGCTTCTGTGAAGACCAGTGTACTGCAGTGTTGCATGGAAAAACAACTGGCCCAGGAACTTGTGGGTTGGAAGCTGGTCAGTGTCTCAGGAACATAAATTCCTGTTTGCTCAGATTTTGTCCAAGTATCTGTCACTATTTACTCATTGAGTCACAAATGACTGATGGGATGATAAAGTTTCTGCATGGATCAGCTTACATGAGCATTCTCTGAATTCAAGGTTTCTTTATTCATAAACATCACCTGAGACTTTTAGTGTAGGTTTTAACATTTTGTAACTGAAAAACCAAAAAACCCCACCTGACCTCTCCTTCCCTTCCAACACTACCCTGCAGAACAGGTGAGGTTATTTTTAAAGCTCTGTATATTGTTTCATTATATTGGTTTTGTGTAGTACTTTGAAATTTTTTATTCTAAGCATGGGTGATAGGGTATTAATGTTTTAAAAGGCTGTGACTCAGGCATGAACATTGGGATTGGTGGAGCATTGAAGACCAACTGTGATGGTACTGCAAGGGAATACTGCTGTTGCAAAGGCAAAAATGAAGTAATGCCCAACTTCGATTCCCATTACTTCTAAGCAAACAAAATAGTAACTGAATGCAAAATACCAGTGTGTGATTTCTGTGATTGTCTCCAGAGTGTCCTATAAGAGGAGGCATAGCCCTGAAATACATCCTTGAGAAGTGATGGGATCTAACCTCATTCCTGCTACCTCACAGAATGTCTTTTGGCTCTTGTATGTGAAAAGGGCTGCCCAGGAACAGAGTGGTTGTCACCAGTCTGGGACTTGGGCAGTCACAGCTGGCTAGAGTTGTCCCTGTAGTTCTTGCTCTGACCAGCCTGTTCTAGGGTGGGGTTTGGCTTTTTTTTTTTTTTTTAAAAAGGAACAAACATTTCTTGAAATTACTTCCAGCTGACATGGCTGTTAAGGGCGGCACTGAGGAAGTGCAGCTTATTTCCATTAGCCAGTCAGAGTACTAATGTGGAAGCCAGCTTGTGCAGAGGGACGGTTGCGTGGATGAGATAAGCTGTGTCAGGATGGAGCAAAGCTGGCTCACCACTCTAGCTGTCTGGAGTCAGGACTAGTATGTACGCGTGTCTCTCATTTAAGAGGTGAGCTAAGGAAACTGTCCTTTTTCGTATCATGTGCTATGGAAAACCAGGGAGATAATGGAGCTAAGGATCTCTTCGTGTCTCTCTTTCTCACCCCACTTACCGTCAGGTACTGCACTCAACTCTGGCTGTCACCTGGGAAAATGGAGTGTGGGGTAAGGTTGAGAGCAAGGTGCTCCAGGTAGGTTATAGTTGAAGGTCTGCTCAGGCTGCACTTTCCTTATGCTGGCCTGAGGCAAGAACACCAAACAGAGTGCAGGTTAGTGCTGCTTTTCTAGAATGAGCCTCTTGTCCACTCTATAGTAACAAGGGTAAAACTAGCATTCAGCCAAAACTCTGGGATACCTGAATTGCCAGCACAAAAGTTGCAGTCTGTGGTCACAGTGGATTTAATGAGAAAATGTCTAACAAACTTTCAGTCTAGGTTCTTAATTCTGTCTCTGGATGTACTTTAGATGTGTTTATATTTTCTTTTTTCAGTTCCCACTTTGTGATGGCTCTCACACAAAGCACAACGAGGAAACTGGCGACAACGTTGGGCCTCTGATCATCAAGAGGAAGGAGGCGTAGAGTGGACAGTAGAAGCTACAAAATGAATGTCTGACAAATCCTCTGCTCACTTGTAATTGGGGGAAAAACCCCCCACAAATCCTTTGTCGTGTCACTGAAGACTTCCCAATGTAGTATATACATTAGGCTTCAGCATGTGTATTTTCTCTGGTGCTTGTTGTCCTTCAATCACTACAATGCATAATTTACTAAATAGTCATGGTTTAAATTTTTGGTCCTGTAAAGTGTGTGTACCCCTCTCACTGAGTATGAAACTAAAATGACGCACAGAATGTACTTCATTGGGAAATGGGTATTAAATTATTTTCAAATAAATACATGTATATCGAAAGGTAGATCCTAAAATCTTGGAGAGGTTCTAAAGTCACAGAGCTGGGTAGATTTCCATGTAAAAGGCAGTGGCAGGGAAGAAATCATGGTCTCAAAATGCAGCTTAATCTCTGATTATGCTGCATTTTCTGCAGGTGTCATGTTTGGCCTGTTACACTGCTGTGCTGTGTGGCTTCCGTAGAAGAATGAATTCAAAATTGCTAGCTATGAACAGGCAACAGAAAAGGCTGATAGTGAGATTGGGTTAGAGGGCAACTTTACCTTTGATTTTACAGCAGTATTGAAACTTGACCCTACTTCCATATGGTATCAAGAACATATTATCCAAACCTGTATTTAGAATAGGATTAGGAAAATGGTCTCTGCGAGAGCTTTCTTAATAGACTAGGGAATGACACAAAGTGCACTAAGGGGGGTGGACAGGGGGTGGCAGGGTTGTCTTTGCTGCCAGAAAACCTTAGTTTCACCTGCAGTCTCAGAGTGAAGCCAACTTCCCCAGACCACAGGACACTTCTGTGGGGAGGCTATGCCAATTGATTCCAGAATCTAAAAAAAAAAACTAAAACCCCACGTATCATCACAGTCTGCTTCACCATGGGTCTGGCCATGGTGAAGCTCTCCAGAGCTGGAGAGCTCTTCCCGCTGTGGAGGGAGGAGGCATACCTTTCTTACTATGTGGCCTTAGGCTCTATGTGTCTTAAATAACTCCTGCCTCCCTGGGCTGTCAATGTGGTTTAGCTGATTTTGCCAAAAAAACCTGGCATGGACAAGGAAAGGCTTTGGGAACAGATGGAAACAGAAAAGGAAGGAAGGAAAAGACAGAGCTCTTACCCTCCTTTCCTATGGCACTTGTCTACTTGTCTGGCATGGTTGCATTAATGGCTGTCATGTTGGTTTCCTTAAATTAAATAGCTTTGATTTATTAACATGAAAATGACTACAAAGCAAAACCCAAAGAGTGGGGTGGCAGAATGCAGTTTTTTAATAAACCCAGTCTGTTTAACTGCGGCCTTTGCAAGATTAAGCACTTGATGTCCTGGGACAGAAACTACCTCAGGGCTGGATGAAAGGCCTTGCTAAGAAGCTGACATTTTAACCTGCACCCTTAAGGGTTCTTCAGATGATTGGAGCAGTAAAGGTTTTTGGTTTTTTTTTAAGGGTTGTTGGTATGACTGGTTAATACTGAGGATGATGTTTTGCATATTCTCGATGTGAAGCTTTCAGAGGCTGAGGTCTTGGCCAACTGGTCTGAACTTGGGCAGAAGGCTCAAAAAGTAGAAAAGGCAGCATAGGTAGAGAAAGGATTTGTAGGGGGAGTATTGTAGTAGGGGCACCTCTACTTGAAGTTGCAGTCAAATATGTTAGTTTGTCTTTTCTGCCTGTCTTGAATGTAAAGGTACTGGATATTTTTTTTACTTGGCCAAGTACCAATGCATATGGAGAGTTGTTTTAACCTTAAATTATTGAATACCTTGCTTTTATCCAAAGCAAAGTAACTTCTGTATTATTATGACACTGAATATTTCTGTATTTTTGTCAAATACACATTTGAGCTCATCTTAATCTCGAGGCTGTAATGTCTGTGTTCTCATGGGTGTCCATTCTTTCAATGGAGTTACACTGTGAGTAGTGCTGTACACCAGTGCTGCTGTAGTCATAAACCCATGTCTGGGGTGGGTTTTCCTTTTGAGGCTCCTTTTTCTGTCAGCAGCAAAGCCTGGCTGCATCCGAAGGAATAGAAGTTCACTGAAAACTGCATTAATGGTCTGAGAGATGAAGTCTTGTAGTTTCAGATGAGTCTCCCGAGTCAAAACTATTTCCTGGAGTTTGGGCATCAAGGAAGTGGGCCCCGTGGGAAGTTTTTATTCCTGGGAAGCAAAGCTGTAGAAGCTGAGTCTGTGTTGACTTACACCCTGGTGACTTTTGTTTTGGGTGTCATATTTTTGAATGTTTATTTGAAGTGGTCAGATCTTATTTTGAGGTATGTACAATTTCCTGTACTGTACCTAAAAGTTCTCATTATGTATGTGAGTTGTGTGAACATGATAATGAGAAGAGATACTTGGATTTGAGTAAACAAACTTGCCAGCAGTCTCGATGAGCATCACAGAGCACACTTCATTTTTTCCCTTAGTACCATAATAGGGTACCATGTTCTGATGGGCTGAGTGCTTGCCTGTTCCGGTGTTTTCTGAAATCTCTTTAGTGCTTTCCTCACATAATCTCTGGAGTATGAACTGAGTTGGTTACATTTCTACAAAGTTTTAACCATTTAAAAAATTCTGCACATGTGCAATTTTGACCTTACATTGAAACTCCTATTGGAAATGTGGTACAAATCCTCTTGAAAACAGTGAAGAATTCCTCCCCCAGAGTAAAACTTTCTGTTCCTCAACATGTAAGTGGTTCTTGGGAAGGTGAACAAATTAAAATATCGATTCTTGAGTAACTGAGTGTGACTCATCAGTCTAAATGTCAAATATTTGAGTGCTTCTAGAGTCAGCATCCTTAAAGAGGAGAGGCTGAGCATTGTTAACCTGAAGGCTAATGATGTGGTGGAGGCCAGCACTGCAGTCACATGCTGCTCTGCTGGGAGGAAAGAGACACTGTGCAGTGGGGCCTCCATGAGGGCAGTGCTGGTTTAGGAGCTTTCTCTGCAGCCATATATTTAGGGGGTTTCAGCAGCAGTGCTGGCTGGCTGAGTCCAGGCATCTAGAAGTGCTGCATAAGTGTGTCAGGGACTGAGCAGCTTTTCATGCACAGAGACTCGTGCACTTTGAGTCCAGGCGTTGTATCGCCAGTTCCCCAACAGCTGGCTTCAGAGCTGACTGCAGGCCTTGCTAAAGTCGCCATACTGTTGCAGTTGTGGCGCTGCTGGGGTCTGTAAAGACTTTGTGCAGTTGTGCAGCAGTTAGACTGGGATTTTCCTTTCAGTGCAACGCTGCTAAAGACATGGAAACATGAGGTCAGTGTTGTATGACAGTTGCTCAGTCCAACAAATTGAAAAATATTGTATAATAGCAGGAAGGATAAGAACATAGGCATGAAACTAAACACTGGTGTTGCAAAGAAACTTTGTCAGCTGGCTTTTGTTTCAAGTCCTGAAGCTTCGAGGCTGACAAAACCCACCCTGAGCCCTGGCTGGATTAGACAGAGGAGCACAGTCTCCCAACTACATGTGGGCAGAGAGGGGATGTCCAACACCACTGCCAGCAGGCTGAGTTTATTGGTGATCAACAGCTCTATTTCATGCAGACCTACTGAAAAGACTAAATGCCTTTTCCTTGTTGCTGACACACATTCAGCCCAGCAGGGTTAGATACCTGTTCCCTTAATTGCTTTGTGCACCCAGACTTGCCTGCTCCAGTTTTCCTGCATGGATGAGCAGCTTCTCTGCACTGTCAGGTGAATAATCATTTTCCTAGAGCCATGATTAATTTAGGATGGGTACCAGGGGCTTCTGTTTGAAGCTCTCAACTGCTTGTTTTCTGTAGCTGCGCTGCCAGCAGTGTGTGGTGGGTTTCTAGGTACGATGATTTCCAAGCTGCCTAATGCTGAGACTAATGCAGAGATCAGCTGAATAAACACTAATAAACATATAAATAAAGAAAGAAGAAGAGGAAAAATGAGAAAAAAAAAAAGGTGGCAGATGGGAGGAGAGCATAAGCTAGAAGATTTATCATGTAACAGCACTATGTGGTAGCAAAAAGGGCTAAATCAAGTAACAAAATGGTGTGTTGTATTTCATTATACACCTTACCAGAGCCAAGTATAAGATGTACAAAGTGTCTATTCATTAGTGTCTGGGACTAGGCAGTTCTATTAGCCAAAACTCTTGCTCCTCAGAGTTGAAGGTGTTACGTGCTCCAGCAAACATCTGTGGTTTTTCTTTCTGAATTGTTTGTGGAATCCCACAGTACTGGACAGAAAGCAACACACACTTGTGCCATGAGTCCTGCTAATGGTCTAATGTTCCTCCACACCCCCCTTTGTAAACTGTTTAATTAGATATGCAATTAGAATAAATAGAAGGGAGTATTTAACAGTATGGTCACAGAAGTCAGTAAAATCACAGTAGGTTTACATGACTGTCGCAAAGCAGGATGCAGTCCACCTTTCCCATGTACTGTTTGGACTGGTAAGAAAGGATTTATCAGGCTTCTCAAGCAACGTCTGTTTCCTTTGATACACAGAAGCTGAAGGTCTCACATAAGCACATAGAGATCATGTGTCTTGTTATGTTTTTCCCAGCTGAAGACTGAACAATCTCTCCTGTCCAATTTGATACTGCACTGCCCTTAATCCACTCTGCTCTGCATCCTTTTTGTTATGCAGACTGCAGTTTTCTTTTGCTGTGGCCTTAATGTGTGGCACATTTATACAAAAAAAAAAGTGCCTTCTGCTCTCTGGGAGAAGCCTGTGCAAAAGAAAAAGGAGCTTTCTGAGTGTCCCAGAAATTACAACTTTAATGCGTGAAGCATTCAAAATTCAGTGTACTGCAAGGGTCTGCTCAGTAACTGCAATGTTTGTTCCATTCAGTCAAGTCAGCTGGCAACAGAAAGGCAGCAAAATGAATTATAAGGTAACTGACTGCATAACTTTTCTCAAATTCATTTCTACAACTGGCAAATATCACCAGACATGGATATGACACGGTCAAGATGCACTGTCTGTTCACTGCTGAGGCTCTTGCTCAAGACTCAGGTACCAAAACAATGGTCAGGGCAGACTTTCACTGAAGTAATTAAATCTGTTGGCTCTTTTCAAACAGTGTGATCTTGCTTTTTCAATCTCATTCTTGGGTCCAACAGCTGTGCGGGTTAAATTACTTTTTAAGGGTTGTGATTCTGTTGCTTTGCAGATAAATTTTGGCAGTAGAAAGCCATTTAATAGAAGAGACTTTTAATGCCAGTGGGTTTAAACAATAAATAGGTGTTTAATTTTGCTGCATGGGGAGGCAATGTAAGTCCCCTCTAGGGAAAGACAAACAGGCATTTTAAATAAACCTCTTGGCCTGTTAATAACCCTAAATCAAGTCCTGGGGTTATCCTAAAGCATTAGGATGTGACTCATAAAATGTCATCATGCATTTGTAAACCCTGAGCCAACCCCCTGATAGTGATACAACACTGTACTTGGAAAATCTTTAGAAGGACAAAGGGAGTATCTGTACCTACCTGTAAGCCACGAAATCAGGGGATGGTACCAAAGACTTTGATCTGATGTCTCTGTTTCAGAAAGAACCACAACTTCTTACTCAAGGATGTCAAAGCACACACATTTCTCATTGCCATTTTGTAGGGCTGGAGGCAGCTACAACATGTTGCATCTACACAGACTCTCCACAAATCATGTTTTAATTCCATCCTCTGCACCGATAATTAACGGTACATTCCTATTCACTGTGAGAGACCGAGCATGGAAACTGGACTCAATGTGTGGCATGCTGAGGATACACAGAGCAACAAAATGATGTCTTTTTCCCCCAACAACCTTCCTGCTGCTGCCCAATGTTTTGTTGGCTGCAGATGCACGCTGGGCCGATGATCTCAGACAACTGTTTAATAGCGACTTCAGGATCTCTTTCTTGGGCCACGACAGCCAGTTCCAGTGTCAGCATCAAAGAGCTTTGGTTTGGATTGTTTTCCTCCAAGTGCGTTACCACTTAGAGGTTTATCCACACTAAAGCTCCTATGCCAATATTGTGCCTTTTGTTCAGTTTTTTGAGATCCTGCAGGACTTCACTGTCATTGGCATGGTATTTGACTGCCCTAAGGAGGTCAGGAATATCCACAGACCTTGAGACTTTGTGCACACTCCCTTCTGTGGGTTTTGCGTGAAGATGTTGAATAAAAGCAGTCTCAGCAAACATCCACTGCAGCGTCCTCTACCACAAAAGCCCTTTATTTGCTTTACATCCCTTAACCTCCTCTCTTTTCAAAAATGAACCTTTCCTCCAAATACTCTGCTTAGTTTCTTCAAGAAAATAAAGAAAAAAAAAAAAACCAAGAAAATAAAATCCAAGGATTCTGAGGAAGAAAAGAACTATTGAAACGAGCTTTTCACTTTTATAGTCCTTTTATCTTTCTAATTCAAAACAGACATCCCAAAATTTACAGCTGCGGTTCTGATTGTAGAAAAGGTGATCCAGAAATCACACAACTGCCATGAGTTAACCTCACAGTAATTTTTAAAATGTACTATATTATTCCCAGAGAATGTAGGTTGGCTTTTGACAGCATCCTTTTGTTTCCGTTCTGGAAAACCCCAGATGTACCAGTTGCCAGGGAGGACGGTAGTGTCAATGAGTTTGCATCAGTTTGCCAAGTAAAATATTAATCATTGTGGGACCTGATGCTTAAGTGACAAGGCCATAACTAGGAAAGAAAGCAAGACAGCAACATTGAGTTTTACAGCCACAGAAGACAAGGGTAAGTTTAGATTTTCCTTTACTGAACAAGCACAAAACAGCACAGAACTCCTGTGAATTTACCAAAGGATTAAAAGCCCTGAGCGATTTTAAGAGGGCAACACTTCTGCTGTGAAAGGGCCAAGAAAAAAAAACTGCAACGCAGCTACAACTTCCACGCTGCTGTGACAGTGTCTGCCTTGAGTTGAATGAGTGGGACAGGCCCTACTGCCTGCAGGAGCCCCACTGCAAATGCTCTCCCCTGTCCAACTGTTTTTGCTGATGGACATTTGTTCTCAGGTCCACATGTATGGTCCAGGCCAGCTCTGTTACAATCTGATGGGCCAGCAGAAGCTACACAGACGTGGCTGCCCACTGCAGGAAGTGGCTTTGTGGGGGCAGCAGGGTCGACCTCTCTCGCATAGACATTGCACAGAAAACACGGCAGAAAAGCAGGATTTTTGGTGAGGTGGGGATGAATTGGCTGTGAACCATGCGAAGGGACAGTGAAAAATCCAGCTTGCTGTCAGCGTACCTCTGGAGTACCAATATTTTGGCCAAGACCCAGCCCCACTGTTTTGTTTACCTAATGTCCTCCTGCACTTCCACTGAAGTATGAGCTTATTTCCTGTACTAAACGACTGTGCATCTTGCAGTTAGTTATTAACTAGCTGTTGTGTTTGAAAAAGGGCTTTATTTCAGCAGAAAGGGATTCTTTTGTAATCCTCGGTCAGTTCAGGGGAGCTGTGCAACCTGCCAGTGAGACATCCCCTGGCAGCGCAAACGCACGCCTGGTATTTTTTAGGCATTGTTTTCATCAGACTGACTGAGGCAACATTGATTTCCAGCAACAGTGAGAAGCAGTAATCCAGAATTAAACACAATTTTGCCAAATGCATTTGGGGGGGAGGGGGACTTGAGGAGGTTCCCAATCAAATGCCCCTCCTTTAGGAGCTGTTTGCAGCCTCTCTTGCTTTCCCTTGGAGTGCAGTTGCACAGCCATGAGAAGTTTTTGGGGGAATTCTGCTGGTAGGTTCAGCTTTCAGTGCAAACTCTTACAGTATCACACTCAGTGGGGAAATGAGTTATTTGCCTTTTCTGGTATTCTCTCTGTTTCATTTAGGAGAAGTTCCCAGATAAGATTAGTGAACTCCATGTGCTGAACTGTGAGGGTGGAATGAGTGAGCAGAGGATAGTCTCATGTCACTTGATTTCTATATGCTGAATCTGACTAAAGCAAATATCAGGGGAAAGGAAAGAGTTAGTGTTTGCTTATTCCGATTACTCATGCTTTATTATTTCTTTTAATCCTCTCCAGGCCTACTTCTGTTAGCTGCAAGGATATCTAGGAGCTATCTGTTGAGGACTAGATGCCTGAATAGTCTTTAAATTCCAATTTTATTGCCTTTTAATTCTGTTCTTTTTTGCATTAAGATTTTGAGTTCAGGTTGATTGCAGGTTTAGAGGGGCAAGTTTGAAATGCCATCTCTCTTTTTCTCTCTGAGTTTAGACCCAGATTAGCTGAAGTATCTTGCATCTCTGCAGGGGGAAATATCTTTCTACAAGGCTCAGGTTGGCATCCAAACCTTGCAGCAGCTGTTGCCACCGAGACCAGGAGCCTTCTCTCTGCCAAATGCATGCTACTTGTGGGTTTTTTTCACCGTACTCCTCAGTACTTCTTGTGCAAGGGTTGGCCAGCTGTGGGATTTCTCTCCTGTGCCAGCAATCCCCTGGGAAAATTCAGCGTTGGGGATCTGTAGATAGGAGCTTACTCTTGCAGCCATCTGACTCCTAATCTTTAGAGCTGGACAGTAATGACTGACGAGAAGGGGATATTCATGAGGGAAAAACATTTCCTGATCAGCCTTGTTACTTCAGAAAGGATCTTGCTGAGTTGTTACCCATCTCCCCCATCTTACCTAATTAAGAGTGTAAAACAAGCTGTTTCATGAACAGTGAATTAATATATTTTGATAGATTTATATATTTTGCTCCTTCCTTTCACTCTTCAATACTCTAATTTCCCCTGTGACCTTCCTGCTCCTGTGATACTTTAATTTCCCCACTAAATCTCTCAAATTGCCATCCACTTCTCCAAACCATGTGCCACGTCTCCCAACTATGGGATAGGGAAGAGGTGGTAAGTAATAGCTGAGCTCACCACATCATCGTTTCTCTGATGTCAGCACCAATTCCTGAATATGCATCAGCCCATTTTATAAAACCTGGGCAAACAATATATATCTGCTGAAATTCATTTTCCTGTCTCTGGTCTTGTTTTCCTGTCCTGTGTCATACTAATGCTAAACACAACTTGATACTGGCAGATACCACAGCAAAAGTGCAGATCTAATATTCACAGAGGTCTCCTAATTTTATAAAGGAATGAAACGGCAAAAAGAAAAGGCAGTAATTACAGGCTGATAAATAAAGCTGATATGTGCCATGGTGAAATGTTAATAAAACCTCCCTAGCCAGGCAGTGGGCTTTGGGGTCCTGAGAGTGAATGCAGGGCCATGCACACCTTCCTCTACCCAAGGGGAGGTAAAATTCAGATTAGATATTAATCCCTTATCCAGTTTTGATCTGGCGTTGGGCCAAGTGCGCTAACCTTCTAATCCAAGACCAGCACCTACGCTGGTAAGGCGTGGTAAGGCTCTGGTTCAGGCTCAGGCTCCCTCCTCGCTGTACATATTTATACTGTTCACATGTTTCGGTTGGCTCTCACTTGCAGTCCCTCCGATCTACTGGAGAGAAATTAAACCTCGGGGTGACGGCGAATTGCTAAAAAAAATGAAGATGGTTTGGGGGGTGTTTCAGGTTACCGAGAACCGCGGGAGGAAACGACTCCTGCCCACCACCGCACGGCTGCGGCCGCTCTGCCGAGGGAGCGAACGCTGCCGGCCCGGCTGGGGGTGCCCGCGGGGTTGGCGTTCCCGGGGTTGGCGTTCCCGGGGTTGGCGTTCCCGGGGTTGGCGTTCCCGGCCGCTCTGCGGGTCGGGGCCGGCTCGGCGGGTGCGCCGGCTCCTGCTGCCTCCGCCGGCGGCCGCTGAACCGGCGCTGCTCGGCTCGGCCTCCCCCCGGAGCCGCGTCCGCTCGGCGCCGCCACTGTCACCACAGCGGCAGCACAGACCCCGCAGCGCCGCGGGCCGGGCCGAGCCGGGCCTGCCGGCGGAGGCGGAGCCCCGCCCGGGGCGGGGCAGCGGCGGTCGCTGCCCCAGCGCGGGGTGGGCGGGCGGCGCGGAGCGGCGCGGGGTGATGGAGCCGCGGGCCCTCGCCGTCTGCTCCCCGGCTCGCAGCGCCTGCTGAGGCCCGGCCGGCCCCGCCGCCGCAGCGTGGCCGCCCCTCGCCCGCCGCCGCCACCCTCCCACCGCCGGGACATGGCCACGGAGCCCCCGCGGCCGGCGGGGCGCCCCGAGGGCGGGCGCGGGCGTTGCGCGGGCGGCGGGCGCGGCGAGGCGGAGGAGGAGGAGGAGGAGGAGGAGGCCGCGGCCCAGCCGGTGCTCGGCGCCTCCCCGGGCCCCGCTGCGGCGGGGGGCGGCCGGCGGCGGGCGCTGAACGGCTGCGTGCCGCTGTCGCACCAGGTGGCCGGGCACATGTACGGCAAGGATAAAGGCGGTGAGCGGCTGCGGGCGCGGGGAGCGGGCGGCGGGCGGGGTCGGGCCACCTGTGAGGGGATTGCCCCCCACCGCGCCCTCCGTTGATCTGCACTCTCGCAGACCGGCCGTGCCAGGGCGGCGGGGCGAGTCTGGCTTCGATTCTCCTCACGCCCCGCCGGCGGGGCGGCAGCTTCGCAGCTGGCGGGGCGAGGGTCGGTGCGGGCGGGAGGGGCCCCGGCGGTGCCGGGCAGGGCAGGCAGGGCAGGCAGGGCTCGCCACCGCCGGCTCCGCTCGCACCTGTCCGCCGGCGGGTCCCGGGGTGTCTGTGTTGGGGCCCGGGGCCATCGCAGTGCCGAGGGGCCGAGGCCTCCCTGCGAGGGGAGGGAGTGGTAATTCAAGTAACAGCATGCTAGCACCCTCAGAACATATATAATGGGAAACGTATATAAAGGGAACCCCCAAACCTGTGGCCACCAGAAACTTCAGCTAAAATATTAGTAAGCAATTATTAGTTGCTGATTTGATGATCAGTCTGAAGCAACGGATAGTAAGCAGTCTAATAATACAAATACCCTGAGGATACAGCATTTTTAGGTATACCTCCACTAGCTTTAAATTTATATTTTAATTTATTTCCACCTTGAGGAATGAGGTGTTGGCCGTCCTCATGAAGGGGCCTTTTGAAACAGGCAGTGGTCAGTGCCGAAGCGAGCAGTCAAGTTAATGTTGCCAAATGGCATTTCTCACCCTTCCAGGACATCACATTTGCTGTACTCTGAGCCGGGTGGAAGGTACACAATCATTCAACTCCCAGTGTGCACTTTGAGAGTAGCTGTAACAAGTACCTGCTGTCATATTGCCTTTGAACCCTGTCAGTAGGAACCACCCCTGCTGAATAGGCCAAGGGCTGAATTTCAGAACCCTTTCAACCATCAGTGAGTGATATTACAGCACTAATGGTACTGTTAGTTTGTCTTATCTACAGCCTGCATCCATGGTGTGTCTTGCTGCTGATAATCTGGACAGAAAAGTCATTCTTCTCCTTGACCCTGCCAAGGGCTGAACTTCAGAACCCTTTCAGTCATCAGTGAATGGAATTACAGCACTAAGGGCACTGTGAGTTTGTCTTATCTACAGCCCGTGCCCATGGCATGTCTTGCTGCTGATAACCTCCACAGAAAAGTAATTCTTTTACCTTGCCCCTGCTGCAGCTGGTGCATTAAAATGTTGATGGAAGCGTGTTGGGTCCTTGAAGCTGTATGTCCGTCTTATTCGTATATCGTAACGTGAGGTGGGATCAGGCAAAAAAGGCTCGCTTTCAGGGGGAGCTTTGTCTTTTGCACATCAGTTTTATCGCTGTTGGATTGAACAGCGCAGGTGATCATATTGCGAGTGCCAGCTCGAATGGGTTAGGGAAAGCTAACTCCACTACATCTCATGGCCAAGACCAAGATTTTCCTGCAGAGGTACCACCATGCTTGATGATCTCATCTTAGAAATTTTATGTTGGAGACCAAAGCTGCTCTGGTACTCACAGCTCTCTCATTTTTGTAACTTGACGTTCCCTTCTATCCCCGCACACAAACACTCAGAGGACTTAAAGGTATCCAAAGTATTTTTAACTGTTTTATTTATTTTTTTTTTTTAGTTAAAGTACACTTTAGTTTTTTTTTTTTTGCCATAGGGTTTCCTCCTCCTGAATAACCTTTCCGTTTTTCCTTTGTTCTCTGTGAGTGTTACTGCCTTGCAAAGAAAGGCCTCTCACAGCCTCCCTGCATGCACATGTAGACATTTGGCTTTTTTTGAGCACTCTGACTGGCCTTTTGTTGAATGCTGTGTGCGGCAGTGCTTCCCCCAGATAAATTGTGTGTATTAAGTAGAGTAACCACCTTGGGTTGTGGCTTAATTCCGTAGGCGAGTAGGAATTAAGAGTCAGCACCTGATGGGATATGCCACCTTACAGGACCTCCCACTGCAGTTTGGTGCCTGTAACTTCACAGTGCTGGGGGTTCCCAAGCCATTAGTGGGATTCTGTAGGTAAAGGAGCCATTCTCCTTCAGTTACTTGCTTGCTCATGCAGATCACAAACCTAACCCTGGCTGCTGTTTTCCTGATGCTCAGGTTAATATGGCTCATACATACTGGTCTGCCCTTGTTAGATACCCTTAGAGGACAGAGGATCTTCTCTAAAGTAAATGTTTGACGTATTTGTGCAAGCAGGTTTTGTCTATAGCTCAGTGAAGCAGGTGGATTGGATGAGATTGTTTTGTTTAGAAGAGTGCATACAACTGCACTGGTTATTTTTGCAGCAGCTTTGTGTTTCAGAATGGCAGCAAGCTTTGCAGGCACAGTCAAAGAGAAATGTTAGTGAGATATTTCAGGATTTTATTTTCTGCATAGTTCTGCTGCTTCTTTAGAAATGTTAAGTTGCTTATCCATGTACAATACTACTTCCTATCTGTGCTGAAAAACCCCAGGAAGCCTACGACCAACCCATGGCCAACATTGTTATGTTACTATGATCTGCAGATGATGGTATCTCTGCTTGTTGTTATTGTAGATCATAGGGAAGGTTATGGAGTTTACATCTTCGTGGTGAATGTCGTAATGTGACTCTGGTTTCTGGGCCTGCCCTGGTCACAGTGACTGAGTAGGTGCTCGAGTCTCTTAAGAAATGCAGAGAATGAGGAAACTTTTACATCAGTTTATATTAAACTCTTCAAGTAATATGAATCAGTGCAGTAGTGTATGGATTCTATTTCCAGGAATCTTTATCTGGTCTTTCTATCTTGTAGGTTGTCTGCTTGTCTTATCATCAAAGCCAAAACGCAGATTTTGGAGAGTATGTGTTATAAAACCTGTTTTAATGTTGTGATTGTTAGCAGTTTGCATGCACAACACGTGCCATTCAAATACTTGGTGCACTTTGCAGAGTGGTTTCCAGCACATGCAAAAGGGTAAGGTGAGGGGGGGACACAAACTGTTGCGTCTTGAAGATGTTGTGGTAGTCAGCACATTATTATGTGGCAGTATTTTTCTAGTTTTGGAAAGTATACAAAATCCAGCTTTGAGCAAGAAACATGACTTGAGAGCTGTTTTATGCAAACTTTAAAAGCCAGTCTTAGGTATAGCCAACTACTGAAACAATTATTCTACATCTGGTGGTTGTTTTAACGTAAATATCTTGGTCTCTGAAGATTTTATTTAGTTTCCAGGGCTGCACAACAGAGCCCATTCATAGATAATGGTTTTCAAAAGATGAAAACACAATGCTGTTACAACTGCAGACTCTGTTTGGGACACAAAGCTCCTGGCTCATTTTTCTGTGTTTTTTCAAGCAGTAAGCTGAAAGTGCAGCCTCTTTTGGATATGGATGACATTTTTGCTTCCCTTCTAAACAAAATAGATTACTGTCTGAAAAGCTCCAAATAAATCCTAGGAAAAAAAAAATTTCCAGAAGTGGCTTTTCTGTCTTCCCTTGCAACTGATGATGTTGAAACTTGGGGCACATTTCAGAGGATTGTAGTTACTTTTCTCCATTCTTGCCGGCATCCATCTCTTCAGTACCCTTGGATACTCAGTTGCATTTCTTATGAGCTACTTAGAAATACTGATGACTGGAAGGTCATTAAAGCTGTTTCAGGAGGATATTTTCGAGGGTTTTTTTTGTGCAGGCATGATGAAGGTATTGCCTGGCTGAGGTGAAATTCTGTACTGTAATTATGGGTGATACAAATAGCATGGAGTGCTGTAGGGGCACTACTTGTAGTAATAAAGACATACTCTTTCCGTGCCACTAGTGTAGATGTACATCCACATGACATTTATTTCTGTTTTAATAGTAAGAAATGCATTAAATGTGATACTCTTTTAACTTCCTGGCATTGCTGGAAAAATAATTTATGAGTTATTTTAGAAGGGAGTGTTTATGCAATCTTAGTGGTGGGGTTTTGGGGGTGGAACTTTTAATGTCAAATTCCATTACTGCTTTGGCCTTGAGCAGAATAAGACCCAGAAAATCATCCAATGGCTAGAAATAGAGGAATGCAAGCAAACCTCTGCAAAGGGTCACCTGTAGGAACTGACAATTTTGACTCTGCTGTCTGTGCACTGGAAGCAGTACAGCTTTTCACATGGGCTGTCCTTGATGGTGAATTCACTATTCCTGGGTGGAGGGAAAGAAAGGCCGTACCTCTTAAAACTAAGCCCTGAAGGAGATGCTTCTCTTCTAGGCATACTGCAGCATCCAGATGGGACTGTCCTGAAGCAGTTGCAGCCTCCACCTCGTGGTCCCAGGGAACAGGAGTTCTACAATAAGGTGAGGGTCCTGCAGTGAAGAGGGGGGTGGCTTGCTGCAGGTGAAATGCTGGGTGTGCTTCCTGTACATCCTTATCATTGCAGTTGGGGAAGTGCAACCTAAATATCGGAATGGTATGCTACCAACAGCCCTGCCATGGTATCTGTGTGCTCTCTGGAACTTTCTCCTCTTTGCATCTCAGTCCCCGTGCCAGACCTACTTCACTCTCGGATTTAAGCTTGCTTATTTGTTCATGGGGCAGCGGAGTTTTCACAGCATCTAAGATTTTATTGAAAAGCCTTGTCTTCCATCTGTGATTAAAGGGATGTATGTTTGATCTCAACTTTCTCGTATAGCTGAGTGTCTCAATTGCTGACATCTAAATTTAGATGTTTTCTACTTTTGTCTAGTCTGGTTTAACTGCTAGCAGTATTGTTCTCATCGCTGTATTAAAACTGTTCAAAGCTGTGTTAAAACTCAGCTCCTTTAAAATTAAATAAAAAGCAGAACTCTCCAGTTGTTTTAACTTTAGTTGTTGTATTTTTCCTATTGCTCATCTTCAATTTGCTTTATCAGTAACTTTAACACCACCAGACCAGGAAAGCTGTTGCTTGTTGTCTTGTGGAAGTAAACTATTTTTAGAGCCTGTACTGTCCTACCTGCCTGTGATAGCCTGTCACATGTTTTTTTCTGTATCAGATTTATATGCCATCTCTCTCCATGGCTTACTAGGTATGAAGAACTGTAGAAATCTTCATGCAGGGTGAGAGAGGACCCTTGAGACCCTCTGTTTGTTGCTGGTTTTGGTTTGGGTTTTGTTTGGTTTTGTTGGGGGTTTTTTTCTGTAAAAGGGTATTAATTTAAGTTATCAAAAGATCCTACATATTTTGTGGAAATGAGAACAAACTAAGCAAGGTGCTTTAAGCAAACTGTGTGTTTGTGTACTAGCATTACTTAAAAATTCTCATGATGGAACAGAACACCAGCTCTTGAGTTAGTAGGAGCCAGTTAAATCTAAATGTAAATATATTTCTGAGGTTTCTCAATGACTGTCATTGAGTTGAGGTTAAGAAAGATGCCGTCCAGCCTGAATTGTTACTCTTCAGTAAAAGGAGAAAGCTTGAACAAACTTCTTTGGGTGCCAGGCTGTTCTCTGAAATCCTGAGGCACAGACAGTAACGTGCTAACCCTGTCTAAAGCCAGCAGGTGAGAGGGGTGAGCTCAGGCTTTGCTTGGACATACACCTTTCACAGCAGAGACTTTATCATTTTGCCTGTTTAAGCTTAGACTCACGTGACAAGCTGTGAGCAAGACCCTGGACAAAGTCTTTGAGAAGGTGATCTGTGTTAGTGCCCTTGTTACTGCTCTGTGAAGAAGTCAGGTCTCACTGCTAGTAACTTGCAAAGTTAACTTCAATTCTTCTGAATCTGGGTTGCTTCTAACACTGAATTTTTTTGGTTATAAGCCGTCTTGGAAAGGAGTTGGGCAACTCTTGAAAAGTAACAGAGAAAGGGATGATGAGCTTTGCATGGACTAGAATGCATTTTTGTGGGAGGAGGGAAGGAGAGCAAATGCATGTGTGTGTAGGTGAACACAGGAGAAAGATCTTGGGGATTTGTTGCTTCTCAACAATTAACTGCAGTCATGTTTACTCTCAGACAAGAACCATGTGATGTGGGCTATAGACACTGATCACTACATGTGGTTGTTACAGGACGAGGTGTACTGTGGATTGGGAGGTTTAGGGTAAGGTACAGTTTCATATACAGCTTGAGCTGAGCCACTAGCTCATTGCTGCCAAGATGGAAATGCCTTCCTTGCCAATCCTGCCGTTTAACCTTGTACTGTGATGGTGCTTTTTGGACATCGATGAACTGATCTGACCTATTTAAAAGATGGCAAAACTTCCTTGTCTTGGTAGTCTCCTGCCAGTTTCTGTGACTAAACTGATAAGCAATGGGAACAATAGGGAGGCTGTCCTGCTTTGGTGACTGAGTTTAACCCAGTTGTGGGCTATAATCAAAAAGAGGTTATCACCTTGGAGTAGGCTGATGAGCCTCCAGAGAAGGGGGGAAGGAGAATATTACCACTGCTTGGGGCAGGGAGTTGTTTACAAGGTGGTCAGGTACAGGAGATGGTGAGAAACAGAGCAGAAATGAAGTAAGTGAAACAAGACTGAGTCCCAGGCTCTCACTTTGTCAGGGCTAGACAGCAGGTCAGTTGATAAGATCAAACTAGAAGGTTGTCCAGTAGTATATGTGGATTAATTGTGATTTTTTTTTCTTTTTCCATTTCTGCCTCTTTTTTCATATGTCTTAGAACTGTTTTGTCTGCAGTGGTAGATGGGTTACTGCTCCCTTTGTATGCCACCTTACACTGTCCTGAATGAAGATTAGTACCCCCAGTACCTGGGTCAGAAACAAGTGGGGTACCTTTACTTACAGCAAAGCAAACCTTGTGTGAAGTAACTGAGAAGCTCTGTAGTTTATGGTAGCAAGAAGATGAGCATGTCTCAGTTTCAGCTGCATGAGTCAGCTGGAGAGCAGCTATCACAGATCTGAAGCAGAAGTGTCTTCCAGGAACCAGGAAGTGGTATTTCAGCGTGCAGTCGGAGTGCTTGTGAGCTGGAGGTTGCAGGGAATGTGTCATCATAGAAGATAATGAGGCATTAAGAGACAACTTTGACTAGAACTCTGATATATTTAATGTGATACCAGGTAGATATTATCTTCTGTTTGGACCAAGAAAATCTTCTCTTCTGAAACTGCTGGATTTGCTTGCAGCTGGATGTGTGAACATGGCAGAGGTAAAAGTCTGCATCAGTGAATCACCAGAAGTTTTTCCCTTGGTTATTGATGGGTTATTTTCTGTTGAACATGAAGCTGAGTACTTACTGCTAGAGCCCAGACAAAATGGGCTTCCATTTTGGAATGGAAACTTGAGCAAGACACTGTAGTGCAAATACCAATAGTGATCTGAAACCTGCTAAGAAGAGGGTGGCAGCTGGAAGTTTGGAAGAATTTCACAGGTCTCTATCTATTTCTTGGGAAATCTCTCAAGTAATTCCTACTCAGTCTGCTGCCAGGTTACCTTTCTGATTTTGTCATAGTATATTTTCAGTTTAGCAGTTAAAAAACCAAACCAACTAACCAGCCCACCCTCTAAATACAGGTCTTTTTTCTTAAGAGATTAATTCACTGAGTAAATCAAACTTTTACCTCTACTACAGCAGTTCTGTACTGATGGGGAAGGGGCTTGCCATGACTCTGTGTTATGAGGGAGGGAAAGGATGACAAGATTATTGTGAATACCTTCTATGATAAAATGTAGTAGAACAATGAGCTGTTTGTAGTTGTTGTTAATAACTTACTGTGCATTGCTTAATTTATCATTGGAGTGTGACTTTCTAGCCACAATGTCCACTTGCTATTGAGTTCTGTAAATCCGAGTAATTATAAAATTATTAAAAATTATTAAAAAATTATATTATTATAATTTTAATTTTGTTCTTGCAGACTCCCTTCCTGTACCTGAGGGCATGAACCCCTTACAAACATTGCCTACATAAACACAGAGTGTTTTACCAGGTATTCTAGTACCCTTATCTGGGTGAAAAAAATTGCAGTTTTTTTAAGCTTGAATAGCTACAAAATGCTTTGTTTTCAATAGGTCTGAGCAGCAAGAGAACAAAACAAATTGAATTAAAGGGTTGTGGTTTGTTAAGGACTATCTACACTGCTGATCAGTTGTTTCTATCTAATGTCAGTGCTCTGTGAGAACATGTAGGTGGAGACAGTCCACCTTTGAAAGGGGCTTCAGGGGGGAGCAGTATACAGAGATGTGGGAACAGGGAAATAGTGTTGTTTGAAAATGTAGTAGACACCCTTTTCAATTAAAGAGAATAAATTGGTAAAAGGCAGTTGTGTGTTTATGGTAGGCTGCCTACACAAGCATGCAAAGAAATCCATGGAAGTGGGCTGCTCCTCAGTGTGTTTTGGGATTTGGCTTTAGTGTGCTTTGTGCCATTTATCTGTGCTGAAATGGTCTGATTTAGTTCAACAGTGTTGGGAGAGGGAGGAAGCCTATTAGGCCTCCTACAGCGATCTCGTGGCAGATGAGTTGGAGCTGTGAGAACAGCATCCTTTGGAAAGGTTAGTACAAATGGATGAGGTAAACCCCCTGCTTAGCTGGGCATGGAGCTCCTGTCTCAGCCATGCTGGGCTGTGCCCAAGAGCACTCTGTGCTAGCATAGCTCTCCCTGTCTTAAAGGCTGTCCTCTTCAGCACAGGGCTCTCCTTAGTTTATGGTGTCAAAAATGTAGCATTTGCAGAAACTGCTCTCGTGTTGGTGCTCTGCAGAGGGGGAGGAAGCTGCAATGTCAGGCTTTAAAGAGGGGCAGCTGCTTTTGTGGCACAAAAGGAAAGGGTTTGGGCTGCAAGGAGGGCTTGTCCTTCTACCCTGCTCTCTTGAGACCCTACCTGCAGTGCTGCATCCAGCCCTGGAGTCCCCAGTGCAGGAAGGACCTGTTGGACCGAGGCCACCAGGATGATTAGAGGAGCACCTCTGCTATGAGGAAAGAGAATTGGGGTTGTTCAGCCTGGAGAAGAGAAGGCTTTGGGGTCACCTTAGAGCCTCTTCCAGTGCTTAAAGAGGTTCCAAGAGAGCTGGAGAGGGACTTTGGATAAGGGCATGGAGTGACAGGACAAGGGGAATGGCTTCACACTGACCGAGGGCAGGGTTAGATTCAATACTGGGAGGAAATTTTTCCCTGTGAGAGTGGTTATTCTATGAAAACTGATGAAGAGGGAATTTACAGTGGTTGAGGTTACCTTTGTGACTACATTTTCCTACAAGCTGTTAAGCACTGCAAGATGGAGTGTTTCTTATGTTCAACAGAACAAGAGAAGGTGGCTGAAGTGTTTTGAAGTGGCAGCTCTTTCACTTCTGATCCTGGCTTCGGTGGGGCTGTAAACCTTTTACTGTGTGTAGCTGATCTGAGCGTGGCCTACTGAAGTTTTCAAGGTTGCTAATGCAACAGCTAATAAACTGAGATTTAATGCTTCACAGATCCATAAATGTTCCTGTAAACTTTTATTTGAATTGCCCTTCTACTCTCCTGTGGTGACTGTGTGATACTCGGGGTATGAGTAGTACACCTTTCCCCCTTATGCTGCCTGCCAAAAACTGTCCTGAGAAAGCTCTTGCAGCATGGACAACTTCCAGCACTTACCTTTTTCTTTCTTTCCCTGCCATCCCACAACCCCCAGTCCCCACCCCGCTCCTGTTTGCTGCGTGTCAAAATTGTCATAGCTGGTTTTAGTGGTGTCGCCATGTCATGGCTCCAAATAATATATGGTTGCAATAGTGTAAGGTTTCCAAGGCTGTTGTAATGCAAGTCTTACCTGAATTCTCAGATACTCTTGTCCCAGGTGCAAGGGTAATTTTGGGGGATTGGAATAAAAAGGTGGACAGGGTTTTCCTAGTCCCAGCTCAACTCTGGCAACCTCCTACCTCTGGCCAGTGCTTGTAAACCAAGGGAGCTGGTTGACCCCGTGTAGCATTGTGAAAAGATAATTGAGCTAATCACCTGGCCCTTCTGGATAACAGATCTTCCACCCTTTGCCATTAAGTAATGGATCTGTTAACTGCTGTAGTGGTATTCCAAGTTCAGGGTTTGAGCCCTGCTGACATGGAATGTGAATGCAAGGAAGCTGTTGCCACTGGAGATAACAGAAAATGTTTTTCGCTTTTGTTACATGTCCTGAAAACAAAGCCAGGATGTAAGAGACACAAATAGCTCCAGCATGTAAAAGAGATTTACACTGGTTAGGTGAGAGTTAGGCACTTGAAAGCTAGGAATGAATGGTTTCATGGTTGCCTATGCAATTGTTCTGAACTTTTTTTGGATGCACTGTAATGCAGCTTTCAATAGGGCCATGGCCTGTCTTTCTGTTTTGCTTCCCCTAAAGAATGCACTAACTCATTTTGCAGCCTGACATAAGGCAGAATGAATATTGTTTGTGAAACTTTTGCTGACTCCTTTGTAACAGTTAGTCTTTGAGTTTGTGACTGGAGACTAATGTGTTAGACCCAGTTATGTTAATGTTCCTGAAGCCATAGTTCCTTGTGCTTCTGTGGTTAGAGAGAAGAAATGTTCTTTTCTACAGTGTCTAATTTTAATTAGTATTCCAGCAGCTTCAGGCAGTACAGAAGACTTGTGGTGACTTCCCTCCCCCTCCATGGCAAAAAATCAAGCCAGCAGCCTGAAAGATGGATTTTGGCCTAGAAGCTTTTGCACAGAGTTGCAGGAACTGACTCCTGAGGCTCAGCCCCCTTTCAGCCTACATAGAACAAATCACAATCAGGCAGCCTGTGTTCTGCTCTGCTAGTGTCGGAAAAGGAAAGGGATTGGGGAGGCAAAATACATCTTGTGTCAGGTTGAATTACCCTATTTTGTAAACTCAGATAACTGGTTTTATAGTCTTGATTTAGATGGTTATCCTTGGCTGAAAAAGGAGTGGATGATGGCATCATGCTGCTATTGTGTACTAAAATATCATTATCATGTGATCATGTCTCCGGCTAAGGTTCTGATTTTCAGTCTTGTATGGACAAAAAAATAGGATGCACGATTTTCTTACCATCTTATTTTGGAGATGCAGTGCCTCGCCCATGCCTTTTATTACTACCACATTCAGAGCTGTAGCTCAGTCTCCCAAAAGGTCATCTTCAGCCTTGCCTCATTCTGGTACATCCAGATCTGCCTCATTGTCAGCAGAGATAGTGGTACTGAAGTGTACAAATTACCCGTTGGCAAGCATAGCGAGCACGTCCTGATACAGTCCATTCCTGCACTTGGCATTGGTCCTCCTGCTGTGAATCTGTCTAGAAGTGATCCTGTTTTGCTGGGGAAATAGGCAACCTGAAGTTCCCAAATGAGCACATGAAGTTGCCTCACACTCTAAACCATGAGCCTGGGCAGAAGTATTGTAGTAGAAGGAAGGGCACACAGTATTTCTTAACTAATGAGAAGAAAATGGCTTTTGACCAAGTTGTGAAATACTGCCAGCTGGTATTCAGATCTTTTTCATATGAGGAGTTGTCTAAGAGAGATGAAGCATGGGGTGTAACTGTAAGAATCTGCTGAGTTCGTACTATTGTCTTATAAACATGTTTTTTGTTCTTCACTATTAAATGTCTGAAAGCTGACTGTGCCAGGACAGCAAGACTTAAAAAGTATGACATTTTTTTGATTCTTGCACTCTGCAGCAAAAACGATGCAGTAGAAGGTTAACCTAGAAGGGTATGGTGAGCTCCTTGAGGATTGTGTATCACAGAATAAACTACAATATATTGCTTTAATATATCAAAGAAACCCTCATGAATGGAGACAATAAAAGGCCATTATTGCAATTTGATGCTGTCGCAGAACTGCTGGGTGGGGTTAGTAACAGACTGAGTAGCCTACAGTCCATGTCATTCAAGTAAGTGGGGAAGAAAATCCAGTTCTCTTACCAACCTCATTTTGAGGAAGATTCGTTGTTCCTGAAAGTAGACCTGGCTGAAAATTAAGCAAAAATGCAATTTTAAAGTGCACAATGTGTTAAATTGAATTAAGATACAGTGCAGTGCTCCTGCTGTTCTGGACGGTCATACAAGTACTTTTTTGGACTGGATCAGATATCGTTCAGACTTCATTTATGAATGTGTCAGAATATGGATCCACTTACTAAATACATATTAGTGTTACACAGAAAAAACTGTGTTCATTATAAGTTCATTTAAAGGTAAGATACAGTTGGTGAGCTGCCAATATGGGATTGAGGAAGGTGTAGGTTGCCTCCTTGAAAAAAAAGCAAAATAAATTTAGTCTCCAAAAAGAATTCTAGTTTCCAGATTTAAATAAAACAAAACCTAAAAACCCAGGCTTGTAATATGAGAATGTTGTCTGATGACACGCTGGAGGGAACAGATGCCATCCAGAGGGACCTTGACAGGCTTGAGAGGTAGGCTCGTGAAAACCTCAGGAAGTTCAACACAGCAAAGTGTAAGGTCCTATGCCTGGATCATGGCAATCCCAGGCACACCTACAGGTTGGGTAGTGTAGTAATTGAGATCAGCCCTGCAGAGAAGGACTTGGGGGGGGGATGGTTGATGAAGAACTCACCATGAGCCGGCAGTGTGCGCTCACAGCCCAGAAAACCAAGGGAATCCTGGGCTGCATCCAAAGGAATGTGGCCAGCAGCCAAAGGAGGTGATTTTTCCCCTCTGCTCTTGTGAAGACCCCACCTGGAGCACTGCATACATTTCTGGTGTCCCCAGCACAAGAAAGATATGGAACTGGTGGAGCAAGTCCAGAGGAGACCACCAAGCTACTAGGGGGACTGGAGCACTTCCCCTACAAAGACAGGCTCTGAAAGTTGGGGCTGTTCAGCCTGGAGAAGAGAAGGTTGCATGGAGACCTCAAAGCAACCTTCCAGTATTTGAAGGAGCCTGCAGGGAAGCTGGAGAGGGACTCTTCATTAGGAAGAGTGATAGGACAAGGAGTAATGGGTACAAGCTGAAAGAGGGAACATTAAGTTTAGATATTAAGAAGAAATTCTCTGCTGTGAAGGTGATGAGACACTGTAACAGGATGCTCAGGGAGGTTCCCCAACCCTGGCTGTGTTCAAGGCCAGGTTGGACATGGACAAGGCCTTGAGCAACCTGGTCTAGTGGGAGGTGTTCCTGCCCATGGCATGGGAGGTTGGGACTAGGTGAGCTTTAAGGTCCTTTCCAACTCTTAAGATTCTATGGTTCTATAAATGGCAGTTTCAGTGGAGTGCCTTGGCCTGGCACTCAGGCAGTGAGCCATCTTAAGGTGCTCAGCAGGCTGTGGGACCAGCTGTATGATGGCATTGCTGCCGGGGAGGGGATGAAAATGTGTGTGGACTGTGATAGTGCTGTCTCTGAGTGACTGAACTTACCATCAGCCTGCACCAGCAGGGTAGTGCTACAGTGCATTCCTTCTGAGGGCTGCCTCTTACAGTCCTAGGAAAAACAACCCAACATATGTCTGTTAGGACTTGGATCCCATTTCTGTCTCTTTGAAATCTAAAATTAAATTTTGCTTTTCTGAGTGTAACTGCTTCAGGATTTCTCCCAACCCTTGTTCTCTCTCACTTCTATCTGGGAATCTTTAGCTGGGATCAGGTCGCTTTCCAGAAACAAAGAGTAAGGCTGAATGTTCTCACAAAGTGGAACAGGCATATTGGCTTCTTTCCCCTTTTGTCCTAATGTTCTACCACTCCACTTTCAGTAATTTCAGTGATAATTTAAGCTTGAATAGTTGGAGTTGCTTAAAAAAAATTATTCTTAGGGCAGAAAATTTGTACGAAAACACTCTGGCTGCTGGCTTTATTCAACTCGCTTTTGCATCTGTGAGCTTGGATGTGTCAAGGTAGCGGTTTCTGACCAGGTCCATGTCTTCCCTCAAAATCCTAAGCACTATTCATGTTGCACCACTTTGTGCATTGCAGTAACAGTGTGCTTTTGGCGCAGTAGTTATGAAGACAGGTGAGAAAACTGGTTGAACTGTACTTCTGCAAGACCAAGTACTTGACTTTCTGCCTTGAAATTTGCTGGGTCTCTCTCTGCGTGCTGGTAGCTTGAGTTTTGCAGTGGGTAACTTCAGGTCAGCGTCTCTCCAGCTCTGTTGGGTAAGCGTTATCAAAGAAGTAAGAAATAAGTAAGAATGGGAGAAGTATTTAGGATGTTAAAATTGAAAATTCCTTATCAGATGACCAATGATAGTATGTCTTAACCATTTTTTTAGGCTATGTTCTCTTTGTTTAGGCCTCTAGTGGATAGTGCCGTATGTGAACTCTGCTCCAGTTTGCTGTATGTGCACGTTGGCATATCTGAAGAGA